AGAAAAGGAATCCGCTGTCAAGAAACCAAAACATTGAAATATATAAGTTCCCGTAGATTGAAAAAATTGTCTCATTGTTCAATAGCATCACTGATAGGGTAAAGCAAGAAATTGAGTAAGGACCACGTTTTCGATGCAACTGCTTTAGTTAGGTTAAGAAGGAGCTAGGACAGTCTTTTCCATCTATGTGTACAGCCTAGTAGATTCAACGGCTAATATAGTGCGTTTACGTTGCCTACAACATTTACGCGTAAACAATGGCAATGTGTTCGTCAAGGCTACTTTCCATGCGCAATTTGCGAGTTAGACGGCGGCATTACTGGCGTGGTATTTGTTTCCGCGCAGATGCTGTAGTAGCCGCGATATCTCACTAATCATCAAATCTATACTGTACATACCAGTAAGCCTCATATTCTGGAGACAGTGTTGAGGAATTCAACATCCCACGAGTAGATTTAGTTTGAAAGTGCTTGAGTGATGATTACATTTACACATATCTCATGGTACTGGCTCCTGCTTTATTTGAGTCACTTTTGGAATGTTTTTAGCTAGGGGCGGGTGGATTTATAGAGAGAAATATGCAGGAAATTAAGCTTTATGTACCTTGTGAAAAGGCCGTTAATGAAAAAAAAACGTTGGAAATTTATGTAGCAGGGTTCTTCACTCATGCTGATTTTACTCCACTATATCTTACGGTTTTTAAGCTTTCTCAGTGGCCCAATCATATTTATGAAAACGTTGAAAAAGCAGTTGTCACGGTTTATCTTACCTTAAGGAACAAGCATGTCTGTAATTTGCAAATATAATGTTTGAAATCAGGAATTTCCATTGCCCTAATGTAGGAGTTTTGGACTGGTCTGGTTTCCTGTATGAGGCAATGCAACTTCTAATGGCTTAGAAAACTCTTCAATGTTCTTACCGTAAATTTACAGTAACGAGGAGGGATAGGAAATTCGCTCCATACAGTAAAAGTTGAAGCCAGCTCCACAAAGTACTCAAAAATCGGCAAAACACCATAAAGCAGGAGAGTTATCAACGATCAAATAGTGTGCACATGTGCTCTCTAATTGAAAATGATATTACTTGCGGAGACTGAAATATAATAGTTACGAAATACGGGAGTAGAGAAAGTGCCACGGATAACGTTTTCCGTGCCGCTTCAACGCGATAGGCTACTTTGGGCTTCTTTCGTTAGAGATGTGAATTTTGCGAAAGGCGCTTTGCGTCTTACACAGAACTTATTCAACTGATGCTGAGTACCAAGGCTGCATCTGCGGCAGCCTATTAAAGCGATTTCGTCGCATTCAGCATATTGGTTTGCCTTTATATAGGAGGTAATTTGGTTGAGTCCTAGTTTTATATAGCTAAAAAATTTCAAACTCCCCGCCCACTTTTACGCGGACACTGTCCTTGACGGAAAGCCTGCACTGTTAACTATGACTAATATCGGTTTGAGCGAATGTGAATGCTAACCTCATGTTTCAAGGACGCAGTCCAGTTCGCAGAGGTAAACTGATGCATAACGTTGCAACTTCGCCATGCGAGCGCTCCTCGAAGTGCGGAGGCCGGGAGCACTATTCGTTGGGCAGTTCGGCGGCGGTAACGGTAGTCAATACGCGAACTGTCGCAATCGCCTCCGGACCCTCCTTGTCTTGACGTGCTGCCAGCCAAACCGCTTATATAGCGGCGGCGCTTTATTATGGCGTCTGTTAGCTTGTTTTCAATCTTTCTTGTCCGCTTTTATTTTTTGTCTTGCTTATCTCAAAGGCTCCGCCTTGGTTTATTTCTTCCATGTTAGCGGATTCGAGCGAATTACTATCGTATTTTCATTGGATTTCAAACGATTTCGAGCCGACTTCTCTTGGATCACAGAGAAACTCCAAATTTCCAAAATCTACGGTATGGAGGGAGAGGTTGTCATGCCATGTCTCCATCTTGGCTACATGCGGCGGATCTGTTTTGTGAAGATCGAGAGCATCATGGTCAAGAATTATGGTAGACGCGCACCATCGTTAGCACGGGACGGGGCATTCTCCCATGTTTCAAATGTGATAATATTTTGGTATTGTAGCTTAGTTGCAGTTGGTGTATCGTACTTGTCTCTTGTGTTATTAGAATAAATAATTGATAATTACTTGTGTAATCGCACGCTAAATTGACCAGTGGGCTAGATGCGCGTATGTATAAAGGCGTGCACAGGGCACTTGGGTTAGATTGAGGTGGCTAGAGTCTCCGAGCCACCAAGCAAAATGAGAGGAAAACTGCCCAAACAAGTGTTGTCATCAAGTTGCCTTTGAGCTCGTGCACCAGTGGAAGCGTGTTCCAAAACCGTACTTCCCCGACATGTTTGTGTTGAGAGGTATGCACAGCTTCGGTAAGTGCATGACTTCATTCGGAATTTATCATTTTTAGTACTATCATCCTTGGCTTGAAATCTATGCAATGCACTTTGATATGTGATCAGAAGCCTCTTCGTAGTGCGATCTCCTTGAGAATTCAATCCAGTCAAAGAATTCGAATTAGGCCTAAAGCCTCAGACAATCTGTGTTCTACTACACGGTAAGGTTTATTTTATTAGCTACAACGCTTAGTTGACCAAAAATCTCCAAGCTTTACCAAATCTCGTCACTTTGAAAAATCGGTAGCTTTGGATGTCTATGGCGCTGTGTAATGTGGTTTTGACATGTAAGATGAACATAACAGTGCTTTCCTGCCTCCTAACGTTGTATTCAATATAAACTCAAGGTAGGGTCAATTCATACTTCTCTAACTTCTGACGGGGTTTCAACAACCCAGTCAGAAGTAGAGAAGTATGAGTTGACCAATCTTCTGACTTGATATTCCATAGTTTCAAAGTACCGCAAGAAATGCGGAGCCAGTATGCTTAAACTTTTGTAAGTGTTCAAACTCATATAAGCTTAGCAGTTTGCTGGATTACCTCGCATTGGCTAAACTGCTAACGGCTCCATTTTGGCTTACAACCTCAAAAATTCTCAAAATGCTCACTGCTCAATTCGAACACGAAGTAGGAAAATGCCTGGAATTTCCCTACTTTGCGTCCAAAATTCGGATAGTGAGCATTTGTGAGCATTTATAGCACACACGACGCCCTACATACTGCCAAAGTTTGAGTGCGCCATATCAAAAGAAAGTGAAATTATTATAGAAGTTGCAAAACATAGTTTCCATCCTAATATTATAGTCTATAACAGTATCCGCGCAGGCCAAATCTTGCAGTGTAAACTAACACTGGTGTTTACCATTCAAGGAATGGCTTTCTTAGACTGCCAGGAACTATTCCTAACGGAACAGATTTTAAAAATAAATTGCTCTGAATATGAAACAGTAGCGAATCTTCCTCGCTGTAGTACGAATAAGTCAGCAGTACTAGAATTGCAGCTTGGCTATATGTGTGCAAACTATATTATCAAATTATAACTAAATAATCTCCTAAAACCAGGAACCCTCAGGCAGAAATCGTAACGTGGATTAAACTGAAACCAAATAGGTTAAAAACTAAGGCCTTTGCCACCGCATACCATGGGTCCCAAAATCCGGCACGTCCACTGCACAAAAGCCCCCTCAGCAACCATTTGATGCTTCGGCTCCAGAACTCGGACACGAAGCGCTAAAGGCGATGATTAGAGCAGCACACTCTCGATAGCAACTAAGACTAGGTTATTGAATACTGGACAGGACGACAACTACGACTAGCTCGGCTCGATTCTCCAGACACAAGAGATATGGGAGGTGTGGTCGTGAAGCGAACATAGTTTATTAAACGAAACAATAATATGTGTGAACAACGGGATTACGTCATGATGTTTTGACAGTGCAAACACAGAATTTTGAAAAGACATATCAGAGGCTACGGTGAGGATACGATGGGGGCAGTGTAGAATTATGCAGTGCTATTAACAATGACGCAAATACCGGGACCACCAACGCAGGGGGGCTGAACAGAACACACAGAATTGACGGCGACGATGTTGCGACATTGTGGAGGAGAAAAGGCGCGAGCGACGACAACACCAACCAGGTGAGCACATGAATCGAACAAACATAAACAATAAGCATCACACGAAACACGACAGCGGCAGCGCGTCCGGCGCGACTTGGTCGCATGCCGGGCGAGCTGCGGTTGTCCCTGCGCGGCTACTGCGCTCAATGCTGGAAGAATCGCGATCGCACGCGAATACGGCGTCTGCGATGCCGACTGCGACGGCGTTGCTGTTCACCTTCATAGGGGTGTGCTGGCGGCACGTAAGTCCTTTCGCCTTCGCCAACCTGACCAATCGGCTCGCAAGGACGTCCTGCGAGTTTGTGCGAGCGGGTGTAACCGGGAGCACATCTGCAATGACATGAATTAGCATGCAGTGGCTGAATACATCGCTGTGATAATTCCAAAAAATGAGAGCCACGTTGATTACGAATAACATTGGGATTTAGCACGGTAGAAATTTTTTGGAGGGTTACGGTAGTACGGTAAATAATTCAAAACCCCAAGTCTGCTCAAAATCTTTCTAGGGAGACCTTTCAATGGGTTGAGAGACAACCTTTTGCGAATGCCTCGGGTATATATACTGCTGCTTATATCACCCTTTCTGTTCACGCAAAAAAAAAAGAACTTTTAATGCTTATTTGACATTATGCACGTAATCAACATGTTGAAAACACCCTTCAACGAAGTTTCTAGCGAAGTTGATACTCTGGCCTATACCGTATACTCAAAGTCACTCTACCGTAATCATTCCTCAGCTCCACCGGGCGAAGGCACCCTGATTTAGCGAAATTCGCGATTTCCATTCTTCGGAACAACTACTGTGCAGGAGCAGAGGAAAAATATGATTGAAAGTGTTCTTAGGATCGTAAACATCTTGAATTTTTTTCCTTCACTATGTCAGAGCAGGTCCTTAGAAGAAATTTTAATTTGGCTGAGTATCAGCGAACATCCTTTACCAAGAATCCAGTTTTTACTGCAAGGGATATTGGATGTTAGGCAATCTATCACATTTTTGATTGATCTTAATCCTACATCGCTACTCTTTTTAGAATCTAAACGAGTAAAGCGCCAAAGATAGGTTTGTCCCAAACACCTATAACCATCCCAACCAGTGTCGAGTGCATCGTAATTATCTATGAAGTAACTGTATTTTCTCATGGGTATAATTTCAAAAAGCAAGCAAACACGGCTACCCCTACATCACCCCATACCCCGTTTTGTAAGCAAAGCAATTCTCTCCTCTTCCCAATACGTAGCTTTTAAGTGCATGCGAAAGTACATTTATGAATCTTTACTCTGTGCATAGGCTACTTTCAGCGAAATATTATTTATAATGTGCAAGTCGTAACAAATTTATGGGACAATCTAATAAAACCCAAAATAGTACCTTTACTATTTTTGCTTCTACTGAAATTGCGTGAAAGTACAGGTTTTGCTTTACTGACTATGCGGAATGGCTATGTCTAGACTGTCGCATCTTATTTTCATTTTTCTTTTCCACATAAAACATTGACTTACTCGTCACATAGTCGTCCATATAGACCTGCAGGACAATTTCTACAGGCCACCTGTCCCTGAGCGTCGAGGTAGCAATCAGCTGCACCACTGTAAAGACGTGATTTATAATTTTCAATAATTTATGGCAGCAGCAGAAACAAGAAAGTACTTACGGGCACGGGCAAGGTGTACAGTCGTAAGGTGTACCCTTAGTGGCATCTCCATAGAAACCTTTTTTGCATCGTTCGCAATGAGTTCCTTCGGTATTGTGCTCACAGAGCTAAGAAGAAGAACTTTTTAAAAATCATCATAAGTTAATACAAATAATGAAGTATTGCTTCTATTTAAAGTTAAGTATCTAGACTATGTGGATACTGACTGGGAACCATATCATGCCATTGCCCAAGTGGCAGCTTATGAAGTCTTTTCATGGGTAGGAATTTCAACTTTGAACTCCGGCCCGGTACCATATCCGAGGCGCGAAGGGTACGGTATCAGGCAAGAACTTGAAACATGAGCTTCCGCCGCAGCAATGGCATGTTTAAAGCTTTCCAATCAGTTTCCAAATAAAATAACCCAGAAGCTAAAAGTAAACTAACCAAGCATCTTCCGAAGGAATCGCATCCTCTTGGCGAGTGGTTATTACATTGGCAAGGAGGTCGAGTAGCAGCAGCTTGGCAGTCATGAGGAGTACCTCTTCGAGCATCTCCGACGAAACCAGGTTTGCATCTGTAAATCCAAATTCAGGGTGATTTTCTATAAAAAAAAACCTAAAGCTACCTTTCGCACTGATCCCCTTCGGTGTTGTGTTGGCAGTCAATGCAGAAGCCATACTCCTGAAATAACAATCAATCATATTAATGGGAGTTGTCCTTCTCAGAGGTTCATTCTATTGTGAATTGAAGGAAAAAGCACAGAGAACAAGAGAATGATGAATTTCACCAATTGGGTGCCAAATCTGCTTACAAACTTACCTTGTCACACTGAGTAGCATGGCCATGACATTCGCAACGTTCGCACAGGCCCAAGTACAATCCACCTAAAAAGCTTGTTGCGCTTTCTAGACGGATAAATTCCAAAAAAATCCCCTTACCGCCAGTTCTTGAATATCCTGGAGCACAATCTTCACACGAGGTACCAATGTAACCAGGAGGACATTGGCATTGTTCCACCTACAGAAAGCTTTTCATAGAAAGTCGAAATAAAAGCTAAAAAAGCTGATACCTCATACGCCGGTTGGCCTCGACCTTGAGGTTCGGCAAATTCCATAGTAACGCTGATAAGACTAGATGTAGAGCATTCTTCCATATAAGTTGCCTAAACAATAATCTCAGTTTGCCAATTTTGAGAATTTTTTGTGCCTCCTCCAAGCCGAAACTCTATCAGAAAATTGGAGACATTCCAAAAATACTTACTTTGATAAGAATATCATCGAGATCAGCAAGAGCCATAAGGAGATGTTCGCGTGTTCCTTGCTGTCCATCGACTCGTTGCCATCTGCAAATTTGAATAAATACTCGAAAAATGAAGGAAAATGCGATTTTGTAATAGGTTCTTAAGAATGGAAGTGGAAAAACTATAGATACCTGTCTTCGAAGAATTTTATTTCGATGACATTTTCCCTTTCAGGATGGATAGGTTGACGATGTGTATATTGCAAAGTGATATCATTTCCCTGCAAAAGATAGAATCCTATAAATCTATTTCAACTTCCTTAACTGCATCATTATGAAAAAAGTGAAGCCTAACTTCTAGACGATCAAGAAAAACAACCCAAATGACGTAAAATTTTTCAAAAGGTTCGAGATACCGTACTTTGATCTTGAAGTTTGGAATGACTTTTTTTAATTGTTGGAGTTAACTGGCGTAAATTACAGACAATGTGCAGGTGCACAATTCTTCTTTTTTGGCAAAGTCATTTCACAATTCCTCATAACTCATGCTATTCCTCAAAGAAATGATTTATAACCTACGCGAATAATGACATCAGGTTCTTGGTTTGCTCCACCTTCACCGTTGTATCGGAACGTATACTTCAATGTTCCTCCATATGCAGTGACTTTGTTTCCGAGGAATTTTGCAGGAAGTTTCCAATAAAGTGTTTGTCCATTTGCCTGTAGATGATGCCAATGGACTTTCAGAGTTACAGAAAACAGTAAATGGCAGTAGATATAGTGCAAAGGATAAAAGCAGCACCTCATGGAAGTTTACAAATTCAATGGCTTGGCCACTGAGATAAGCCGGGGTCGGGGGATGGTACGGCTGTCGAACATCTGATGTAGTTAAAACGAGCTGATCGCGATCTCCACGAGGGTAATTGATTTCAACCTTAGAGAAAAAGTAAATTTTGCGTGATGCATTGGTATAGTCAGAACGCATAAAACTCTTTTTTCTAGGGAAAACTGACTATTGTTCGTCGGAAGCTGGAAGATTGGCACTGTTGTGTAACACCAGAACAGAAGCATGGGATACATCCTTGCGGATTCGTAACTGCCATGTAGAAGGAGTTTGGTGGACATTGGTCGCAATTCGGACCTAAGATAAGTAGAAGTAAAAGACACAAAATACATAGAAGATAGTGAAGTAAAGAAGGACCTACCCTAGATATTAAGTTTATGAGCTTTTAATTAACCCTTGCAAAAATAAGCAAAGAAACTCGACTGAAAGCGAATTTACCATTAGCCTCATAATATAGCGTTTCTCAAACAACTCTGACCAAAATGGCAATCTTTTGAGAAATATTAATCGCTCAAAGAAAATGAAAAGATGTTTAGAACAAGGATTTTTCGAGGATTTCTCACTAAATATCCGAGCAGGAAAGTAATCAATTGCAATGTTGGCAAATATAAATATGCAGAAAACAGAAATTTTTTATTTTCCATTTTAGTCCTCTATCAATCGCCCTTTCATGGTGGGAAAAAGTGGAGAAACGATGAAGAACTCTTCAAACAACTCTCAAAAATTTATATTCTCGAGATTGAATTTCTAAAGGCTAACATACACCATAGATCTTCAAGCACAGAATATTAGCAATTTACTTGAACAATTTCCATTCTTGAAGGTTCTGAAAATTCTCTAAAGAACCCCTTTCCCCTTACCGGGGCTACTTCTATTTTACCAATTAGGTAGACTTACCTTGTGCGTATGTCTTGCATTGGCATCTTCCTCCTGTTTGATACTGTGAGACTGCGCCAGGACCAGTGCATTGTGGCTGTCTTTGCTACAAAAAACAATAATTTCTATTGCAATTTTAAGATTGTTGCATAGACGAGCAGATACAACCACAAACCTGAGTAGGTACGCAGGTACCAAGGTAAGGTCCTTGACCAGATCTTTCGTAACCGGGAGCGCAATCCTCACAAGATGTTCCAATGTATCCAGGTGGGCATGAGCATTGTTCAACCTGGAACTTATCACAATGAAGAAAACAAGACTATTGGTAGATCAATTTCATAGACAAACAAGTACAATGAGTACAGGAGAATGGCGATAATCTCTTACCTCAAGTGCAAGTCCATCTGAAGTTGGACGATCGACAGCGATTTGCCATGAGACGTGTCCGAGACTATAAATATTGTGCACTTTGAATAAAATTTAGCTTACGTAATCGAGCTAGCTATACTAAAACATGTTTTGTACCCAGAATCAATGCTTACGTTCATCTAACAAAGATAATACTTTCACAATCGATGCGTGTAACCATCAGCTGTGTACCATAAGTAATCTTCTCATTCTAGCTTAACTGTCTTTAGTACCATCTCGCATCTCCTTGGAGACAAGGGTAACATTGCATGTAATGGCTTTCTGCATACTCTCTCTCCATTTCGCTATGTTTTTCTTCAGCCGCAAAATTGTATTGAATTATTTGAGATCCTATGCCATGAACACCCGCCTGCTCCACAACCGGATATGATATTAATTAACATAAAAAGGAAGAGGGGCGGTGACTAAGGTGACGAAGCAAAGGCCTTTGGCTTAGCCGCTATCACTACGAGCTGCTGTGGCTATAGCCAAGTCCAAGAAGGGATGACCCGAAGTGGTCAACATGGTGGAAGATGCTTCATCTGTCTGTCACCGTACTGGCACCGTAATCTTCATAATGAAAAAATGAAGGACAAGTTAAAGGTAAGATCTTTAGCATTTTTGCTGCTGCATGTTTTCGACGGCAAAAAAGATAGAGGAAAACCGACTATGTAAGTCGAGTAATAATAATATAATAATAATAAGTCAGGCTTTTCAAACTTCTTTCCATTTCAATAATTTCGGTAATAAATGCAAAGAACCCATAGGTCCTTTTCAAAGGTTGATTCTTCTGGTCGTTGACAGTTATCCACTCTATCCATTTTCATTTGATAATCAAGACCAGAGACATGAAAACCATTGGCAAAACAAATAAAAAATTCCATCAATTGTTTATATGGGGCAACAACTTTTAAATTTTCATCAATCTGTATGGTCAGTCATAAAAAAAGTTCTGTTTCCTTTTTTAAAGATAATGACCTATAAACTTGATTAAGTTTTATTATTTATTCCAACAGACAATCCATGATTTTTGAAACTAAGATTTTTCTCAATTCTATACAAGAAAGGCAATTGAAAGCCGAGTGGAGATAATAACTTAATCATTTCTTTTTCTTTCTTTTACATGTATCAATCTAGCAACACATTTCATCTTCCATCTATTAAATTTATCTGATGGACTAATTACCATCTTCTATAAAATTCCTTGATTTTCCAGATAATGAGCGCCTATGAACTCGATATTCTTCCTATACTTTGGAGAAACGTGATGTTCCGAAATTCCCACTTCTGTGAACATGTTTGCCATAGCTGGCTTAATCGTTCTCTTCGGGCAATGGTCATCACAAACGATGGACGGCAAAGGGAAGAAAATCCGGGTAAACAAATCTTTTTTTGATGGAGCAGCCATAACAGTTGTAAATTTGCAGAAGTGACTGATTATGATCTGATCCAAAAAGAAGCTATGCGGTTAGAAGAAATGCTTGAGGGTTTGATCGAGGGAATAAGAAGAAGAGCGCAGATCACAGACAGCAAGGTTTGTGTTCTCATGCACATCGTAAAACTTTCAAAAACGACGTAAATAAGCCTTTTGAGGCCTTTTTTTTCACTCTTTGCAAATACTCGAAAGAGTTGCCTCAGTTCTTAGCAAAATTTCCACAACTATAATGAACTGATTCTCTGCCATCTTTGGATAAACATTTGGAAAACCCTGATCAATCTCTTTTACATGGATGAGAATGGCCACGTAAACAATCATCGTTTGTTGCGACAAAATTTGACAAAATTTGTAAATAACAGCCAATGATGATCGTGGTAACATCAACAGGAGGCAACAATGATAGATGCCTGTTTTGTTGAGAAAAGCAATTAGGTCGTTAAGAATAATTGTTGTGGGAATTTGTGTATAGATCAAGTGTACAGTGGTGCGTAGTGTACATACATTTTTGGCTTGATACTGTATTTCAACAAATAAAGAAAAGGTGAGCAATTTGCGAAAACTCTGTCGGAAGCAAAGAAGAAGAATGCATCTCATATGCAGGAAAAGCGAGCTCGTTTAGAGAGAGAAAAGAGCAAAAATCAAAAATTCATAAGTAATAGATAAAGAGTGCATCGCAGATTTGTAAACCATCAACGGATAGAGACTGAACAAAATAACAAGATATCGAAATCTGAATTATTAATAATCGGAAAGCGAAGTGGTATAGAGCTAGTAAGTTTGATACATGACTCTTTGTTCTATTTTGAATGGGACTATTGGAAATCGTTGAAAAGATATTAATGTGAAAAATATGACTCGATTTTGAAAATACATGTTGTCGAAAAGTGCTTTACCTCTAGCTTCCCTTGGAAAAAGTTTTGAAATTTCATATAGGACCTACGTTGAAATCAAAAGAGTCAGAAAAATTTTTGAGGCTTCTTTCGGAATTTTTGCATCCTATGAAGCACTTACTGTTCATGTCAAGCTTTCTAAACAAACTTTGTGAATTTGAACTAATACTACGTTTGATAAGCTAGTATTATTTTCCGTAAAGTTTCAGCAATTACGACAATATGTACTGTGAGCAAGTAGAAGAGGAAACAAGAGCAAGTTGATATCAAATGAAAAAATTGTTCATTTCAGGATTACTTGTTGATTTTCGCTCGAAAGAGTGGTGGTCGAAAGCAGCGAGTCACATGGGTCCCGAGTGGACAACCGACTGGTCAACGAAAAATTCGTGGAACTTGGTTCGGTCTGGCCGAAAGTCTTGTCGAGCAGTACTGTGCAAACCTCGAACTTGAGGACGTGCACGAACGAGAAATGCGAGTGATCATATGGAAACATTTCATTTTCGCTCTTTTACAGCATCTTATTGAGTACTGTAGCTCAAATCCGTCACGCTCTTGAAATTCCACAATTTGCATCTCACTTTATCAGCTCTCATTAGCATTTCACTATTATTGTCGCCGTAATGCGCGATGCCTTTTCGCATAAACTCGCTTTGGATCAGAGCGTGATTGCAAATTCTCAGTCTATGTAAATCTATCCGATTCAACGTCACAATCTGCCTAAAGCCATCTTCATAATATGGCAAACCCTCACTGATCGGAGATCGCGTTTAATCAGTGCGAATATGTTTGCCATTGCAGACGATTACAATCTGTTTTGATGAAGGTTCAGAATTGAACCAAGGATAGCAGGCTGACTGAGTCGAAATAAATTTTTCTATGCCGCCATGTGGTCAACAAAAAAGAATTGTTTTATTACCGTACGCCTACCGTACCCAAAACTTCGGGCAGTGCATTGCATTCATATTTACATATCCTGTGTAAATATATCTACATCACATTAGATTTCTGGAAGTATACTATAACCCATCGCAGCGTGAAAGTCTGTTATGTCTGCTCTACCCTAATCAACGCAGGTATACGATAGGTATATCGTGAAAGACTGATATTTAAAATCGCAACAATGGGAACTTATGAACATCGAGCTACAGTATCATGACAGACTGTATAGCGCGATGAAACAAAAAATGTTCCTTATCCAAATACATGTAAATTTTTTAAAACAACGAAGGAGAGGTGCCGACGGTAAAGCAGAATATTTTCCATTATGGCGCGTAAAATTTCGTTTTTTTGCATAAGAATGGAAAGGAGTGGAACGATGGCTATAGACAACGGATTTCTTCGCCGAGTCATGTAAAAATCCGTTTTCTTGCAGAAAAAAATATATACCTGGTAGACTCTTGTTGCTCAACATGGGTTGCGCGAATAAGGAAAGCGTCCAGATCAGCCAAAACCATCATCAAATCTTCGCGAGTGGCTGGTGCTCCGTTCATTTGAACGAAGTTTGTCTAATTATTTTTATTAGTCCTTATTCTCGCTGAACCATTTTAAAGAAGGACACACCTCATAGGTTTCGACGGTTATGGTAGCGGGTCTGTCTGTTTGTAGAAGCTGTTCCTGATTGCGGACATGATGAACGAGTACGATTTGGTTACCCTAAAGAATAAGCTTCACTTTCTTTGAAGAACTTTTTCCTTGAGGAAAATCAACTTGACAAATTCAATTTACAAGGGCAGTATGTCAAAATGATAATGGCCTTAAATGGTTTAAAAACCCACTTATAAGGTCTTTTGTAAAAAGAACATTCTTGTCGACCAGTTCTAGTTTTAATCACAGATTAGTTCAATTTGGTCAAAAAATTTGGAAAGAAACCATTTTACTTGAAGTTATTGCACTGAAAATAGAAACTAAGAAGACTTTATCAGAAAATCAAGTGCATAAGGCACCTAACCAGTAATTCTGATAAACAAGTTTAAAAACAGCATTCTATTGCATAGTTTCATTACATCCAATTCGCCAACTATCGCATTGGGTCTTTCCAATAGTTCTTTCTGTTTTTTCGATCCATCGTAAAAACGCGTGGAACAAAGATGAGAAAACATTCCAGAAACTATTTGACGCAGTTTTTCATTCTCTTTCCAATAGTCGTATTTTGGGACTATTTGCTTTTGTGGTTACTGGGATATGCAGAAGCTTTAAACCCATGGCATTTACCATGCCCAAGTCTGGCAAATTACCAAAATTACTTTTTTAATGTTAACAATTTCGTATTTGGTTTAAACCTCACAAAACATCAACCAACAAACAACTCGGGCATTGCTTGATGCAGCTTATTCTCCACTTTCTAATAAGTATTTTTCTTTCCAATTTGTGGAACTTCGGAAATGAAATCATCCAAACCGTGAGATTTTGCACGCGTTTGCGGCTGCAGCCGAAATCAAAATCGACATCTTAAAGCGGGGAGAGTTTATTTGCCTTAGAATAGTGTTAAATTATAATCGAGTTTTGAAACTCTTGAATTCAGAAGATTTCTCAGTGTTTAATGCGTTCATGTATCAGATGACTTGCAAAAGTGAGAACTTCCGAAAAGTTATCTTGAAAAGTACTGGAAGACTAATCGGTCTCATTTTGAAGAGCTATGGTAACAGATGGCCAGACTAAATAGAGTCCAATACAGCAAATTCTTCGGACATCCAAGAGAAGCCCAAAGAATTTGTTGTATTGGACTTTATTTAGTTCTGCATTTGTTATCACAGCCCCTCAAAATGAGAAAGAACTGTAAAAAGCTGTCAAACTTGGGTGTGGCAAAAACAAAATGGGCTCGAAATTTCGGCTATTATTTTGGTGTTCATAAAAGCAAATAATTTGGAAACATGTCTGTTCGAAAAGAGAAAAAGTTTGCGTCCAACGGTATTTGAATTTTCCAAGTGCTTTTCTTGAAAAGTCGAGAAAACCGCAAGAATTTTCGACAACCTAATATAATACAAGCTTTGAAATGAGGTTTCTAATTAGAAGGTTATAAAATAGGCTTGTACGAAAAAATCTGAAAACATCGATGAAAAGCACAAAATTGATTTGCACTCTTTTTATTTTTCTTCATTATAGATAATACATCTGTTTTATTTTGCATCTTTTTCTTACAAAACTAAAAACTTGAAAAAAGGCAGAGCTTGTTGTCATTTGTGTCACCATCCAATTAAGAAATGTTAAGCTAGGAATTTTGGGAATTTCCAAGAATTTCAGAACCTTGAAAGCTTAATCCTATAAACCGTTTATGTATGCAATTTTATAAGGCTCTTTGCTTATATACTTATAAAAGCTAGTCAACTCTTTAGAAGTAGATATGAAAAAAGAGGTCAAATTTGTGGATACATTACAAACAGCATAATCAAAGAAAAAACACAAACCTTCAAAACCACCATAGGTTCTCGAGTCATCGGACCGCTTCCGGTGTATTCGATCTCAAATTCCATCTTTCCTCCGTAAGAGGTAACCTAAAAGATTTTTCAATTTTCAAAATTGGAACAAAACTTATAATAGACAACCTTGTCTCCAAGGAACCTCGCCGGCATTCTCCAGTACTTTGTTCCTTGAAGTGGATATGAGTAAGTCAAGAATCCCGGCTTCGTAAATTCGAATCTGGAGTCACGGTCTATGTCTCGTTCTTCGACGTCCGAAAGCGTAACTCCCTCCGATGTGCCGGCAAACATCAAACGATCCTTCAAAAGGTAAAGTAATTTTACTGGTACAGCATATTTTATGGGAGAGGAACCAGTCCCAGGTAAGATTTATAGCATTGTACAATATTAGTTTTTGATGAGAAGTTATTCGATCAAAGAAGGGAACCAAAGGTTGGGGAAATCTGGGTTAGTTATTCTTGTAGGTGGACGAAACAAATTGGTTAGGTAACACATATGACGTTAAGAACATGCACGTATCCAGAACAGAAGACGATGTAAGACAACACTTACACAAGCGGCATCCTGAAACAAACACAATACAGAATTTGTATAAAAACTCAAAAGCATAGCAAAATGGGGTAAAGGTTCAGCGTATTTTTAGCAGCTTTCCAACCAAGGCAAAAAGCTTTTCAAGTCGAGAAATAAGCAGTGATGGGATATAAGCATCAATACTACGCTTTTGTGAGAAAGAAATATAAGCATAAAGACTAAGCTTTTGTGAGGAAGAACAGGTAAATGGAGCATTTGTAAAAAATGCCTGAGAGAAAAGTTAAAAATTATACGATTTTATGGAAAAAAGTGACGCGATGGGGAGCGAAGAAGGTTCCACAAAAAATTAAATTTTTCTGAAATATCCAGGCAAACTCAAGGCCAGACAATGGACATTGTCACACTCTTACAAACACAAACTCAAACAAAAATGAAAGTATTTTGCACAACAATTCACGTGACACAGATCAATGATATGAATTCTGCAGTAGTTTCATTACATTTTGTGATTTGAGGTTATAAAAATTAAGCTCAAAAATTCCTTCTTACCTGAGTTCTGTACCAGGTGCTTGAACGGCACTGGTCTGTAACTCCAAAACAGAAGCATTTCAGACAACCTTGAGGCGCTCTCTCATCCAAAAAGAATGATCCCGGGATACATACGTCGCATGTTGGGCCAGTCACAAGTTCCTTAAAAAGTTTGGTGAAGACACTTAACTTGTGGCCGTATTCATCAACGAAAACCCAGTGGGTTCCGGAACCCAGTTTAGTGCTTTTGATGAATATCGATGTAGAATCGATATTCATCAAAACCACTAAATGGGTTTCGGAACCCACTGGGTTGTTCGTTGATGAATACGGCCACTGATTTGAAGGAAAAAGGCTTACCTTGCATGAGCAACCGCCGACTTCTTGAGTGTATATGGACACGGATCCTCGACTGTCACAAGTGACTTGTGGAATTGGTGAAGGTCTTGGTGGAGGCTCTGGTGCCGGGATGTTAACAATTCGAACAATGCAATCGGGTGTGGCGAGAACTCGTCCTTTTACGTTGATGGCTTCGCATGTGTAGGCGCCTTGGTCTAGTGCTCTAAAGAGAGAATAAGTAACATCTTCTCGAATTATAAATAACGTAATTTGTCAAATCCCACTAAATAATCACAATTTTACTTCCAAATAAACTGTAAAGACTGTCATACACAAGGAAACGTGATATTTTTCCTTTACAGTAACAATCTAAATAATTTGCGGAATCCTTTGGCCGTATTCATCAACGAACAACCCAGTGGGTTCCGAAACCCATTTAGTGGTTTTGATGAATATCGATTCTACATCGATATTCATCAAAAGCACTAAACTGGGTTCCGGAACCCACTGGGTTTTCGTTGATGAATACGGCCACTTGTGTGTTGTAAAAGATCATTGGTCTCTTTTTCTCAAAGATTACTCATTTTTACTCGCGGGGTGATTTTTATGTAAATGTTCCGCACCACAGATCATGCACTATTAGTTCCTTGAAGAAGACCCATTTTGGAAACTCATTCGGAATATTTATAGAACTCCATTGCATTTGCTCCAACTAGGAATTCGGAAAGATTCGTTGACCTTTCCGAAGGGTACAAACATCCTATAGCCCAAAACCCTGCGCACTTCTTTACTTTCTTCGATACAGGTCAGATGAAGGGTGACAACAACGCTTCAGGTGCTCATGACTGGTTAGTGGGCGGGGTTAGCCAGTGGGCGTGGCTGCCACAATTTCGCAACGATTTGTCGCCCCCAGCATGACTTCTACCAAAGGACTTGGCAACTCTCGTTAGAAGCTCGATTGTACAGGGTTTAGCTCCCGAATTTGCTCAGGCGCTTCATTCAAATAAGCGAGATGACTATAGGATGGGGTCAAAAAAGTCATTAATTTCTGGATTTATGAAAATGTTAGCCGGTTTTCACCGACTCCCTTCTTAAAATGAAAGAAATAAACGAGCCAGACAGTTAAGACCATCAGATAGGTCGCAATGGCAAAAATGGCAAGTAGTATTACGGCGACTAATTGCCCCTATAGATCGATTCACCGCTAAATCGCACAAATTTATGGATATGAGTTCTATCGCGGTTCTAAAATCGCGACGGAACACACATCCCGCAACGGGGTCGATCAGCGTCAAATATTCGATCAACGGGCAGCGGCACGTTGGATTTCTTCTTCATCTCCCGATATTCGTTATCGATGATAGTTCTTGCAGTGAGTGATTGCGCTACGAATCGCTCTCTCTTACATCTCTCAGCTCTCCAACTATTTCCATCGACGATGATTTAAACCGGTCCGATTGCTCAGACGGACACTATGAAACATATCGGGCTAGAAACGATACGCGTTGCTCTCGTAAGGTGGGCATAGTGCAAATAGAGCACATGCTCTTCTCTGTTTGTATAAGTTTGGCTCAGGGGGGGGGGGGGGGCGGAGGGAATAAGCCAGTCGTGGCAGAACGAAAGTCGCGATGAATCGTTGCACAATACATGACCTACTTATCATTTGCACAAATCCCTTGCGCACCGCAAAATTGCGTAAACAACAACAATCCTTGCGCATCTTCACCCGAGAAAAAATACTACATTGGTACAATAATATATACAAAATCTGAGATACGGCTGATATATAAGCATATATATAAAAAGCACGGTTATAGACCCTCTTGCACGACATACCGTATGCTACCGTATGCTGCCTTATGCTACCATAACTCCAAGCGTCACGGAGAAGAATAACGTTTGCGACGTCTTAATAAGTAGTACATATTCTTACATAACCGCTCTGCTTGCGCGGGTTACGGTAGCATACGGTAGATGGTGTAAAAGGACCGTTCCTTTGAAAAACCACTTACTGTGCATTGCTGACAGTGAGAGTACCGTAGCCACCCTCCGAAGTCTGGATACATCGTGGCGGTTCACAAACTGGTCCCCAGTTAAGACGCCAATTGATGTAGGCTTCTGGCACAGCTACCGCCTACGAAACAGAACTTTACTAAAGGACCAGTTAGGCGAGATTTGAAGCTTTACCTTGCAAGTCAGCTGGAATGTCGATCCCTGTGGGACCTGCTTATTCGTCTCAGGTGGTTCAACAACTGTTGGCTGGACGCATCCAACCTTGAAAGTAGTAAATTGACTATAAGCAAAAAATTGTTTTCGCATACAGTACCTCGTCACTTCCATCTCTACAATCATTTGTTCCATCACAATGGAAAGACGATGGCACGCATTGTGTTTGGTCCCGACATTGGAATTCAGTCTTTTTGCACATTTCTCCTGCTTCTTGCACGCCTGTAAGATATTTCCGTCATTTCTCAGCTTTTCTCTCTGCGCCGATTTCACGACGAAGAATTCGAAGTGCGCGCTTCATTTCACGCTCAAATCATCATATCAAATACAGCATCAGGTTTTTTGCCACAGAGATAAGGAGCTCCGCTGAGAAAAGTGAAAACAAAACGGAAAGAATGTATTTGCAGCATACAAGAGGAACTAGACTAGGTTTCTGAAGGAAGATCTAAACGTAAAGATACTGTAGCTGTTTCTTGACAGCTCTTCACCGTAATTGACCCAGACCAAATAGGGGCGATATGTAATTTAGATCACTCAGAAAGAATAGCTCAAAAATTGTACGAAATGTTTCACATTCGCTATAACAATGGCGCAACTAACTCTTTTAAACATTTCACTTATGGAAATTCAGGAAAAATGCATCTTGTAATGGCTACTATAACCATTACAGCAAAAGTATTTTTGTAATGTCAATCAATAGCAGATTACAAACCAAGCAAAAGCAAATCCCAGACATCGGTTACTTTTCAAAATCACAATTCAGTAATCAATTTGTATGCATTTCCATGGAAAAAGTGTGCTATTCAAAATGTAGAGTTATAGATTACTTTAATTCAATTATTGTTATTCAAAGTTATTCGCATTCACTCCAGCGAGTGATACACTTTTCAAAAAATTGTCTTTATAGGAAATTCTGAATTTTATTACTTACCGCAATTTTGCTCGTCAGAATTATCTCCACAGTCATCGTCTCCATCGCAAAGCCACATTTTCTGTACACATCGTTGATTGTTACATCTAAAGTCAGAGTTTTCAATTTTATAGCATAAATGTGCATTTGATTTAAAGTGAGGAAAATGTAGCAGCAATATATCATCAGCTGGAACCGCTCAAAAACAATCACGACGAGTAAGGTCGAGAAATATGAATAAATTTACAACAAATTACGAAAACGTGAAATAAAAACCAGTTACTAATCATGTTTACTCAACACATGAAAAAGCTGCGTTTTCTAACCCATTACTTCAAACAGTGAGAACCCTTTTGTAATTACACATTCCCTTTTCTATTTCTCAACAACAACAAGAAAGTTTTAAACAAAGCAAGTATGCCGGTCTCACAAAAAAGTGCAGCCACACCCTCCCTATGCACTATCATACCATTTATAGAGCATTAGTCACATAAAACTTTCTCTAGTAGGGGACAAGTTTTGATGGGCATGGACTTTTAATGAGCGTTCTTCGGTCTCAACGACAATATGGAAGAAATAATAACTTTACACGAAAGGTAACAACAGTGGCGGGTAAAGAGTCGAAAGAATGGTTTGAAAATGAGAAAAATGAAGCTCAGAGTTAGAGACTGTTGTGAAAATCTTTAAGGCTACCTCAAACATAACAAAAAATATAATCTCAGTTTTTGGAAAATTTCCAAAGTCAAGGAAGCTTGAAGCATTCGAAAATCTACTAGCCTGAATTCATTCGGTTCGCATTGTCTCATAGCTGGACAGTTCATCTCATCGGATCGGTCTCTACAGTCAGGCTCTCCGTCACAAACGTAATCAGCCTTCACACATTCGTTATTTCCACAAGCACGCTCGTCGGCCATACATTGTCCTGATGAGGACAGTTGGTTCTGTAGATCTTGTGGGCCATCTGAAGACAGTAAAAATCAAATATTGCCCGAAAGTAGTACGAAAAATGCAAAATTGTTGGCATCTAGCCAGGCAGCTAGACCAAAACTAACCAGTCTCTAGATAGCAAAAAACGATCAATTGTTACACCAAATATTTAGAGGCAACAAAAAGGCGTAATTTCGATTACCTACAAAGCTTCGTGTTATACACGATTTGCAGAAAAAACTTTAAAGACAAAGAAGAAAGTAGATGTTGTAAGTTTGATCCTTTATATGAAAAAGAGAACAAGAGGATTTGCCAATGGAGCGAGACAAAGCGAATTTAAAAAAAAAGCTTTTCTCTTGCTGCAATGGAAGATTAATTGTAGAAAAAGCCCAGTGTCGGAAAATGAAACGTAGAAAAAACGGAAGCGTCGAGATATCAATCAGAGGTAAAGGCGCCGACGTGAAAAATAGTTCTCAGAAATTATAGCATTTGAAAACTCAATATGATTTAAAGCACGAGGAATGGACTTTGCAAAAAATGTACTTTTCATTCCTTGGGTTAAAGCTATCAATTGAAATCAAATCTATTTGACCGCATAATCGAAACCTTCAAAAAGAAAAGTTCTCAACCATGAGATGGTAGTGGTAGGCTGGGAAAGAAACCGAGAAACTTGTATGATGGAATTCAATGCGAGAAGTGGTGACATTTAGCAATGAAGTAGAAAATTTTTGTAAGAACTGCGGTGGGTAAAAGGTCTGGAAACTTACATGATTGAACATGAAGGGTGGCTCGAGCCTCGACTGTCTGTCCATTATGTGTAGCGGTACAAACATATTCTCCAGAATCGGATAGCGATACCGGGTTAATGGTAAGTCTACCGGCTGCATCGTGGGCGTATGGAGCCAAAGCACCACCAACACGGCTCCATCTATAAGTTAAAATATAAGTGACTTCCAAAAACATTATGCTTTCTAAATTTTGGACTTCAATTCCAGTTGGTGCTAAACTTTAGTACTAGAAGGTAAGTAAATTTGGGCACTTGCTTGCATAATTTTCGCATTCAAAATCTTTACAAAAAAATTGACCCAACATAGATCTGAACAGATGAACACATAATGCACAAAACGTAGAAATTGGAGAGATTTCTCCATAATCAAACTTTCACTTTATATTTCACTATAGAAACTACTTCATTATAGATTTGGGAAGTGTGTATTACGTCTCTGCGCTGAAATGCTATCGAAGATGTCAAGGGGCATTAGTTAAAACATGATAATCAAGATGGAAAAGTCCTTTAAATGAAAATTCACTTCCTTTTTTAGAATTTGAGATTACATACACTAAGTTAAGTTCGACTTGACGATTTGATTAAACAGCTTTCCAATGATGCAAAAAAAGGAAAGCTTCAAGGAGAATAGATCATCATCACATCTGTGCAAATTCTTCTATTTTTCTAATGGCAAAAATGCAGAAGATATGGAATTATTGTAATTTTTCTATAGACTTAATACTTTGATTTTCTCTAAGAGGAACAAAGATTTCACTTCTATTAATCGCACTAACAGTAGATCGAAACTAACAATAAGAAAAATTGAGCAAAATATTAGTTTTGTTTCTCGAGCCAGACCTCCCCGTGTACTTTCGATTTCACACCTTCGCTGCAAAAAGCGGTCAAAGCGCTGCTCAGAAGGCGAGCAAACAAAAAAGTCGTAAGAGATAAGGACACTAGAAAGCAAGACCATTAAAAACCCTTATCTTATTAAGGATTTGGAAGCATATTAGTTTGAAAAAAAGGCTATTCAGTAGCCATGACACAGTTCAGATAACGCAAAAGTACTTCTTTGAGCTGAAAAGACTAGTTCGGGCTATAAAGTTGTGAAAAAAATATATTGTTCCAAAAATTCGCGATAAAAAATCTTTTAACCAGAAAAAACTTACGTAGTTGGCGGATAATATGTATTGTCGGCGGTTCGTGCACGACAATCGAACAACACATCTTTACCTTCCCTTACAGTCGCTTCTGTTGGGTAAACGCTAATTTGTATATCTAAACGATAGAATTGAGTGTACATTTTTCACCCGTCTTAGTACTTGTCCTCAATCGTAAACCATTGTCGAAGTACATTCGACTTCGAAGGGAGCTGCATGTTTGTTCTCTTGGCAGTGCAACTGTCAGCTCTATGTTTGCCGAAAGTGTTAAAGTATCCACGATCAAGAATTGCCCTTGCAATAAGCTTCTTTTCGGACATGGAGAAGGACCTTTTGAAGGTTCTATAGACAGAAATTGGGAACAAGCAGCCTTTGGGTCATCCAGATTTGCTTTTGGCAATCATTAGAAGGTTCGACAGAGTAAAAAAAGTAATCCAAGATCCAATTCGATATGATAACCTCACTAATTTTTAACTGAAGATCTCCATTTGAAAGGCAAATAGCTGGTCAAGTGATGTCAAAAAATATTAAATTTATGATTTTACAGCCTGAGTATTACGCAGTAATCAATCTAGGTATTGATTAATCAGTAGAAAACTAGCTTGAAAGGACAAGAATTACTAGACTGATAAAGGAAAGCAAAGAGATTGAAACAGATTGTATTTATTTCTGCTTTGCTTTGGGATTTGAAATTTCCTAATAAGCAGATTTTTTTAAGCTTAAAAAGGTCCTGAAGTCTCGTGCTTTCTTTCAAGTGCAAGTGCAGTTTTCCAGATTCCCTATGTTTCCTTCCCCTGTGAACATTTATTTTGATTTTTTACTATACAAGAAGTAGCATTCCCCGAAGCTACTCAGCAATATATCGAACACCTTCGTCCCGCAAGCTCGAGCACATGATAAATGATGTGCAGCCTGTTATACGCCAAGATCCTATAGTTGCAAGAAAAAATGTCCACATGCTCCTTATTTTTACAGCATAAATGTGCAGGTGGTATGATGTATGAATCTTCAATGCAGTAAAGTGAAATCGATTCCGAAAAAATGATTGGAAGCAGTAGAGGAAGAGTTTTTGGTAGTTATTACAGCTGGTCAATAATCTTTGAATTCTTGCAAGCTGATCTATCAGTAAAAGAAAATTCGTAAAGTTTGTCATAAAAGTGCGCAGTTTAACAAAATCGACCTGAGTGAACTCTGGAACAGCTCAATTTTACATGTGAAAAATCATTGAGGGAAAAAGAAAAAGTATTTGAAAATAGCACGAAAGCATAGATTGTGCGACTAATAATCGAATTCAGAGCAAATTTCGATGAGAAAGCATATAATCAGTGTTTTGAAGAGCGAGCAAGTGATTTATCTACCGCATCGACCACGAAATTGCGCATTTGTCTGACCTATCCTTGATCTAATGCTCTCTGATCACTCTCATCGTCTGCCGTCTCTTGCAAAGGTGAACTCTCTCGCAGACAGCCAATTTCTGCTTCTAAGGAATCACAAAAGCTTTCAGGACTGAAGCCAAAGTAAATAGAGTTTTTCCCTAACGTAACCAAGATTTGTATGCATCTACGCAAATATTCGCTTGTAACTTGAGCCATCACGTGTGCTATACTACACCCTGGATTTTACCAGTAAAAAAATACGATATCTCCTACTCAGCGAGCATGATCCGTGTGGAAAAACGTGCCCAAGTGCAACATGCAACAAACCGGCAGCCCCCGCCCGCTCTACCCGTCTTCAGTGACGAAACCCCGACCATTCACTATGGCGCACACTTCGATCATTAATCAACAGGTTTACGATAGAGGATGCTAAGCATGAACGGGTGTGATAAACAACTAAATCGATGTAGTAAAGCTTATCCGAGAGAGAGAGAGATATGGCGTAAATCAACACTTACCACTGGCTCCTTCCGGATCGATATCTTGAACTGAAACGAAGAAAAATTTTTGGGGGTTCTTTAGACTTTCAAAAGACCTATTTGATCTCAGTTTTTGGCAAATTAAATTGCTCTACGTTGCGATTTGCTTCATTTACGAGTGCTCGATGATATGTTGACCAGTTTATCGTTACGCTGGCTGTGAAGTGAAGAAGAGACGTCCTAATCATTCACGGAAATTCCACACACCACACACAGGGCGAACAACCTTGATAACGCCCCAACGCGCGAATTCGCAATCACGTAGCAAAACATGAAAGTCTGGTTGTGGACAGGCACAGTACGTTGCGGTTTGGGCAGAAATTTCGCGTGGCACCAGATTTTACCCCTCTACATACATAACCTATCCTACCCTGGGTAAGTAACATCGAGTAATTGATCACCGCCAGAGATAACCCGAATCTTTTCGCGCATGGGGTCACTCGGATCTGCCACCACCGCCATCGCCAACGTCTTCGCCACAATCATACTTATTACTTTACTATCGGGCTGTCAATATCGATAAACGCGGTTCTGTGGAAGGGTGTGGGGCTGTTTGGAACAGTACATGAGCATTTTAATGTGAATAGTATGTCAACATCATAAAAGAACGTAAATGTGTGGGCATGGAAGACCATTAAGAGCGAGAACAAACAAGTGCATTGTCATTTGGCAAGGTATGTGAAGTGGTCGTATTGGTCGCGCCAGAGGGGGAAAGATTATGGAAAAAAGATAGAAATCTTAAGGGATAGAGTAGGAAGAGATGAAGAATGAACGATTCAATAAAGAGAAAAAGCGAAAAATTTGGAGAGATACTAATGAAATTCTGGAACTTACATGTTTGACGATGCTTTCGTTTCGCAGCCGAGGCAGTCGCCAATATGGCTAACCACCAAAGCAGCCGAAACTGCTTCCCAAGCATCCTGAACCGCTAATCGAACTATTACGATTTGGAACGAGACACGACAAGCGGAAAAAGAAATGTGATGGAATTGGAACGGCGCGATTCCGGGGAAGGCGCGTAAATTGTGAATGTTTAAGGGAAAAAACGTACGGGGGCAACAACGTACTTTACGATGATTGGAGACGCAGTGATGACCATGATTGGATGTCGGATATGAGAAATGTGATAGGAGTAGAAGTGGGAAATGAATGAGAAATGTGACAGGAGGAAGATGATGGAAAACTGAGAAAAGAGAAGAAAATGATTTATGTATGTGAAGCACTGAGGTTGTCCCCCAGAAGTTTTGAACTGAGAGATCAAAAAAATTTGATAGCAGAAAATCTGAAAACATCTTTCACATGCCAAACAGATACACAAAAAATTATTTCAATCAGCGCCAAAAAATCGGAAAGTTATTGAAATCTTAATGTTCTCTATATTCTCTGAAAACCGGATGAGCTTCGTTCATAAGGTCTACAAAATTATATGAATAAAAAAATTCAAATCACTTTCTACACCAGAACTGGTGGCAAGTGAGACTCAAAGAACACTAATTTGCATAAGCCATTATGAACGTACAGTGGAGCAAAAACTCCCTCCCCTCGCTTACCGCTCCCCCCCCCCCATCTCTTTCTCCCAATGATTTGATTGATCTCGTTGAGCTTTCGTCTTCCACGAGCCTAAAATTGATGGAAACGGGTCGAGCAATGGAACACATGTTCGGTTCTTGGCATGCATAGAGGCTCTGTCTGAGTGTGAGACAAGCTCGGCAAGTTACTACAACCGGCGCGAAATTCGCCCACACGTGTGGCAGAAACATGACAGGGAACAAGCAAAGGAAGAGAGTACTGGGAGCAAGTTTGGGTGATGGAAGAGTATGGAAGAAAGCGATTCTAAGAGATTAGACGGGGAAAAACATTCTAAAATAGGAGCATAGGAAAATGTTATAAACCGGCAGTGTAATCGAGGTTGAACAACTAGCAGGTGCCTTGCTAGCTCACGTCGGAGAAAAGAAAGCATGCTTGAACAATGGAGCGTAAGGAGGCGAACTAATACGAGGGACATATCTTTTCCGAAATGTCTTTTGGCCAAAAAATGGAGTGGGGAAGCACCGAAATCAGCACATTTTCTGCAAAAGTCCCCATACACTTAAAATAGACATTGAAGCATGAGAAAAGCGTAAACTAAGGGCAACATATCAAAGGCGAGAGCGAAACATGATAGCAATGTCGCTGATTGTAGATAGAGAGACCGAGAGAGAAAAGTGAGAACCGCGAAAGACCACGCCCCAAAGTTTCTGTGAGTCATATGAGAGATGGAATGAGAAAGAGAAAGAGGGATAGGGAGAGAGAAGATAAACAAAATAGGAGTAGGTGATTCAGCAAAGTTTCACAACCATTCTAAACCTTTGTGGGTGCTACCGTAACCAAGCTGATCTGGATTTCCCCCCCCCCCCGTCTCGCTAAAGATTCGCATACCTTTCGGAAATCGGCGCGACCGGGGCAAACGCGCGAAAAGTTCATTACACTACCCACATCCCCGATAAAAAAAGGTTGCAAAGACAAACTCAGTTCTTTTGATGATGAGCAAAAAAAGAAGAAGACTTACCACCATTGAATTCAGCATGTCTATCAGGACAATGTGATTCATCCGATCCATCCATACAGTCTTGACGAGAATCACAGACACGACTTCTTGAAAGGTGACTCATTACTTTCAACAAATTCAAGAATCTCGGAAATATTAGAAAAAAGAAAGAGAGGTCTAAGGACGCCTGAGCTTGAACCTTTCTCAATCGAACCGGTCCTTTTACAAACAACATTTTTGTTAGCTATACAAGTTCTATGACGTCCTATACAATTTCAAGAATTCGTAAAATTTCTTTTCGTTGGAAGAAAAGTGCATTGGTACTAATTTACAAACGAGTCATAGAAGCGTAAATAACATACTTGTCAATACATTCGCCAGTTTCACACTGGAACTCATGATCCAGACATGGTAATTCATCATCATATTCGTCTTTAAATTGTATAGTTGGAAAAGCGGTGCTTGTGTAAGCCTGAAAATTTTAACACTTTGTTGAAAAAACGAGCATTGGCACGCACTTGAACAGATGTATTTTGCAGCCAGTTTACGATGCTTTAGTGCAGATGTTGAAAGCTTGAAAGTTTTGATTTTGAAGGGCCAAGTAATCAAAAAATTAGTCAAAAATTCCTGGAATGACGTATGGTTTGTATGTCTGTGATACATGTTCTATAAAGCATTGGCTACCGTTATGCTGACACTCCCCATATCATAACACCCATCATCCTCTAGAGGAATTAGTTTCAATTAAAGTTTCAACTTGAATACGTTGAAAACTGGAACTCGTAAACCAGGCCGAAAGTGTGGACATTGCTGCAAAAGCACAGCATGAAAGATGCGTTTTCGACCAAAGAAGTTGCCCTCTGAAGACTTCAAAGCTAAGGGCAATGGAAACCTATTCATTATCGAAGTACAGGTTTTGAAATGTTGCAAAAATTAGAACATTAGCAAGAAAGATAAGGGTCCTTAACGAAAGTAAAGCGTTTTCAATACGCCCCATATGGACAAACTGCGACTTCATCCGAAAAATATGGACCATCACGGCAACATATGGACCTTTGAGGTCAAAATAAGTATAGATGATCTTTTTTTAGTATACTAGGCTATAGAACAACTGGGCGCTCATGAAGGTAGCCGTAAATTTCTTGCGTCAAGATGTGGTTGCTTTTGAAGATCCACTCTTACTGATGCAGAGATTTTGCAGATACATTAAGTAGTAGTTCCAATTTGTCAGCAGAAGTTTCATTTTTATCTTCAAATTGACTACACAATGGTGCTCAAGATACCGTCCCTAGAGCAGATCGCAGAACATTTTTTTAGGTTTTCATTTCAAAACTCAATTGAATTGGTCGATAGGCCAGGTTGCATCTCCATTCCATCTCCTACTTTGGCCCAACTAAACTTGGCCAATAAACCGTAATATACACAACTTTTCCATATAAGGGCCTTACATAAATGCAGAGACATTCTCGAATATCAACTTTTTTGTTCGTCGAGTAGAACAACATTTCAAGCTCACCTGTTCGAACGGCCTAGGGATATCACGTGCAAGTTCTCGTTGTTGTTCTTCTTGTCTTCTTCTCAATTCTTCATCTCTAAATCTTTCCTCTTCCCTGCGACGGGCGTCCTGGAATTAATTAAATTCTTTATCACAGCTAAGCTTACAGTTTTACGAATCTTAGAACATGGCTACTGATGCTATGGTGTGTAAAAATTGCTACACTCTGTCTTTAGTCAGAAAAAATTTCCAACTGCTTACGCGAATGTTCTGCATCGTAAATGCAAATAAGCATTCGGCGGAATGATGGAGAATTTGTACTATACAATCGTCAAGTATTAGACTTGTACACAACACACAAAAAAATGTAGCTAGGTTTTTCTTGATAAATTTTTTGCTAAAAAGAAGATAATTGACAAAATGTTGCGCCACAAGAAGAATGACATTCACCAAAGCATAATTTACTAATGATAACTAATGAAATTCGTGGAAAGTTATTTACGTAGCTTTTCTTGAAAAGCTACGACTTTGAAAATTCAGTCAAAACCATTTACCTCAATGCTCCTCTCTTCATCTTCTCTACGGCGTTGTTCATCCTGTCTCCTTCGTTCCTCATCTTCTCGTCTTCGTTCCTCTTCCCTTCTTCTCAACTCTTCCTCATGAAATCCGTTAGTAGGTGCTCCAGTTGGTAAATAAATACCACGATCACCACCATTCTGCTCTCTCCTGCGTTCTATTTCCTCCCTCCTTCGTTCTTCTTCTTCTCTTCTTCGTTCTTCTTCTTCTCTTCTTCTTTCTTCTTCTTCCCTTCTCCTTTCCTCCTCTTCGCGCCTTCGCTCTTCCTCTTCTCTTCTCCTCACTGCATCTTCAGACTGAGCAGCTGGTGTCGCTCCATAACCACCATGTCCGTTACCATTTCCATTACTTACCACCCTTCTACCGTTCAGTCCTTGTCTCCTCCTTTCCTCTTCCTCTCTTCTTCGCTGTTCCTCTTCGAAATAAGCAGCCGGTGTCGATCTATAGCCACCGCGTCCGTTTCCGTATCCGTTACTTCCCTCTCTTCTACCGTTCACACCTTGTCTCCTCCTTTCCTCTTCCTCTCTTCTATGTTGTTCCTCTTCTCTCCTGCGCTCTTCTTCTTCCCTTCTTCCACCCTGCGCAATATCCGCTGCAGGGGTACTATAACCAAAATATCCAACTTGACCATTTTGCCCTCTACGACGTTCCTCCTCCCTTCTACTTTCCTCCTCTTCTCTTCTGCGCTCCTCCTCTTCCCTTCTTCGTTCCTCCATCTCCCGTCTACGCTCTTCTTCTTCTCTTCTGCGTTCTTCTTCCTCTCTTCTTCGCAATTCATCTTCGCGTCCATTTCCATTTTGTGTAGTGTCATATCCATGTCCTGCTCCGTTATTTTGCTGTGCTTCTCGATGCCGTGACATGGCTGCTTTGAAGTACTCTGAAAAAGTGCTTTTGCCTCTATTAGCCACCATATTACACTGTTTTATTATGAGCAAAGAGCTCAGCTGGCGCTGTGCGAGTGGGAGCGAACAAGTGGTTTTCGACGAATAATTAAATGCTTTGGCAGCGATATGCGACAAGATGCACGCAAACAAGTGCGAAAGGATTATCTCAGCATTAAGCTCCGTTTCAAAACGTTTCATTGTTAAAAGAGTTGCCAAACATTCATGTTTCAGAGTGATTTGTCGCGCTGTATCAGTTCTAAACACAAGTATTGAGTTCGATACATGGGAGGCAAAAGAAAAGTAGCAAATAACTATTCAATTTCTGATGTGACCTGAACTCACTATATTCAAAAAAATGCTCATATATTGGAGGCAGTACTGTATCAGTTTGGTGTGAGCATTCCTTCTGCCGTAAACTAAGAGTTAAATGGATTGGAACCTTACCGCATTCAGTCTCATCTGTACCGTCAGCACAATCGTACTTTCGATTACATGCCAGCGATTTGTCTATGCATTTGCCATCACCACACATGAACTCATTTGATGAACATCCTAACTGTACCTAGAATGAACATTCAAACATTTTCACTACGATTACTTTCGTCTAAACGATATGCAAGTGTCCTACCTCCACATTGGATGGAGTCGAATATTGTGGCTCCTGCGTAGATTCCTGTACACGCCCAATTTTCGTCACTGAGCTCGACTCACCCTCCTCGTGACTGCCAGATTCACAATTAGCCTAAAAATTCCCATGGTAGCGACTAAGTTGTCAAGCAGCATAAACTCTTTAGAAAAACAATCCTTTTGGGGATGCTGAATTTATTTCCATTTTCTAAGAGAATTGCAGAACGGAAAATGGGAAGTTGCAAACTTCAATACTGCTCTCCCCTTCAGCATACACTAAGAGTCAGCATTAGGCATTAAAAGTTCTTTATGATGAAGTCCAAGTTTATAAGGAACAACTCCGACTTGAGTCTGAATGTGTCTGAGGTGTCTCTCTTCTTCAATATCAATCAGATCCTTCAGTGATGGTCGAATTGATAAAGTAATGCAAGTTTTCATATAACTCTTACTTTTTTTAATGTGATGCAGTCATTTTTTGTTGTTATATAGATGCCTGATGTATGCTACAAATGCAGCCATTTCTGCCGAGTAATTCGCATGTAAGGGTTAGTGTAGGTTAAGGTATGAGGGAGGAAATTCCAGATCATTTCGACTTTGCTGAAACTTGGTCTAGTGGGTTAATCGACAAGCTATTTACAAATGTGGTATCTATCAGCTACGGTTTGTCTTATTTCTTACCAAACAAATATATAATGTAGTGATCAGCATATTGGATTACCGCATTTGCGAAGTGCCGGCAAATTTTGAATTTTCGCTGCTCAGTGATGAACGGATGTTCCTCCAAATTTGGTGTATTGTACTTGTTCAACTTCTCAAGTGATTTGTCCATACGTTTCCGTTTTACTATACTCAGTAGGGCAACCTTTAGCAACAGGCCGCCAATAACATCTTGAAATGTTTAGTTCAGGTTCTGCACGGCTTCATCTTTGTTCAAAATGTAAAACCTCGCATCTCAGATTTCGAAAAATCCTCACAAGATTGTTAAATTTTATCAGGTGTTATCAAGAAATAGTTCATGCAGCCTTGTAGCTCTTATCTTATGATTCCAAAAATGAGAGCGCTACATAAAAAATAGAAGATTTTGGAAGAACATTCAAATCATGTGTCCACCTGATATTTCACATGTAACGATAAAATAAAGTGTAAGTCCTCTGAGTGTACAGTTGTTTTCAATACGTATTGGTTTTTTCTACCGTATGCCTTCCAGCCTCAACATGACGTGGATTGGTGTGGATTGGTGCGGATTGGTATGGATTGGTGAGGCGCCGCATCGCTTCGGGTTTGCGCCGCGTTGCTTTTCTCGGCGGCGCCGCGCCAATCCACATCAATCCACACCAATCCACGTCATGTTGAGGCTGGAAGGCATACGGTAGAAAAAACCAATACGTACTGAAAACGACTGTAGATATGATAGCTGCTAGCTTCTGAGCTGCGGCTGCTCCTTTAAAGGCAGTGTCCGGGCAAAAACTCGATTTTGAGATTTTTTGCTTACCCGGGCCTATTTGCTATGCTGAATCCGAAAATCCACATTGGAGAGCGCGAAAACGACGAAAAACGGCTCTAACACTGGAAGGAAATAAGCAAGTGGGCGGGGTCTTCCCCACTGCGAATTCACGCTTCCAGCTCCAAGAGAAATTTTCTCGAATCCGTTAGCCGCCCTGACATCACTACCGATCAAGTGCAAACGAATGACTTGAAACCGGAATCAAAAAGATCGCCCTCGAAGCTGGGAGCGTGAATTCATCGTGGGGAAGACCCCGCCCACTTGCTGATTTCCCTCCAGTATTAGAGCCCTTTTTCGGCGTTTTCGCGCTCTCCAATGTGGATTTTCGGATTCAGCATAGCAAATAGGCCCGGGTAAGCACAAAATCTCAAAATCGAGTTTTTGCCCGGACACTGCCTTTAAAGTACTAATCTCTATCACTGGCAAATAGGGCACAATGTTGTAGCAATCTTCATGGCAAATTCAAGAGGCTCTCATCACTTATGGTAATATGCTTGTCATCACTTGTTTGAGCTACTATTGCCAAGTTTGCGATTACCTGTTGCGAATAGGGTTGAGCAACACTATCATGCTGCGTAGTTTGCCAACACTTGTTGCGAATGGTGTCGAGCCGCACTATCCTCCTGCCGTGTTTTTCTCGTCAACTGCTACAGACGTGGGAAACAACACCACATTGAGGCCACTGTATTCATCAGCACTTGTTGCACACGGTGTCGAGCAACACCACCTTGCTGCTTTATGTTCTTCATCAGTTTTTGCAAACAATGGTAGCATCACACCTGGTGCTTGTTGCGTATAGGCAACACCATAGTGATCCTGCTGTGTTCATGAACAATTGTTGCGAATGGTGCAGAGCAACACCATGTTGCCGCTGCGAGGTTTATAAGACTAGTGTTCACCAATATCATGCAATTGCAGGATTCACTTATGCGGATAGTGGTGAGCAACACCACAGTGATACTGCTGATATAGCAACACCGGTGATGCAACTGTAATCACCAGCAATTGTTGCGAATGGTGTCGCACAGCATCATCTTGCTGCTGCGGCTTTTGTCATCATTTTTGCGAACAGAGGTAGGCAACACCATTTTGCACCTGCAATGTTCTCACCATTTATGATTGGTGATGAGCAACACCACACTGATGCTGCAAAGTTCTCTCATTAGCTTTGCTGAGCTGCTGATCATCACCAGGGTAAAGCGGGGGGTGCGGCACGCCGCAGAGGGGGGGTCGTATTGAGGAGTCAAAAGGGGAGGGGGTCGTAGTTAGGTGATCTGATTATAGCGATAACATGATATTCGTATCATATCCATAATTAGCACGTCAATTAACCCCTGTAGACAAAGTGTGAGCGAATTCTGAAGATTCAAGATACTAGGCTACCTAAGCGAAATGGTCAAATTCCAACATGGTTAACTTTGTTTTAAAGGTGAATTAGCTATCCGTTTTTGCACTCAAGACAAAGCACTACTCCTTCTTTGTCCACCTCAGGAATCCCGCTTCAGAAGACCTCCAAATTGTGGAATTAGAAGCCAACCAAAATCTCATTTTTCCCATTTTTCGCTTTTGATGGCTGTGCTTTCACCAAATATTACTCAGAGCTAAGAAGACGAATCAGGCTCAAAACATCCCTATGGAATCTACGAGGTTTAGGCTATCGATTCATATAAATATTGTCCGCTAAAAATGTTTTTTTGATATAGTTAATGGCCTGCGGCACCCCCCCTCAAAACCTGCGGCTGCCGCAGGGGTGCCGCAGGGGTGCCGCAGGCCATTAACTATATCAAAAAAACATTTTTGGCGGACAATATTTATATGAATCGATAGCCTAAACCTCGTAGATTCCATAGGGATGTTTTGAGCCTGATTCGTCTTCTTAGCTCTGAGTAATATTTGGTGAAAGCACAGCCATCAAAAGCGAAAAATGGGAAAAATGAGATTTTGGTTGGCTTCTAATTCCACAGTTTGGAGGTCTTCTGAAGCGGGATTCCTGAGGTGGACAAAGAAGGAGTAGTGCTTTGTCTTGAGTGCAAAAACGGATAGCTAATTCACCTTTAAAACAAAGTTAACCATGTTGGAATTTGACCATTTCACTTAGGTAGCCTAGTATCTTGAATCTTCAGAATTCGCTCACGCTTTGTCTACAGGGGGTATTTGACATGCTAATTATGGGTATGTTGTCCATTATGTTTGACAGAGCCTTCAGGTAATACTATCTTAAGTGTATAGTTTAGGAGGGGGGTCTTATTAAGACAGCAATCAGGGGGGGGGTCGTATCCGACGGTCGAGTGCCGCACCCCCCGCTTTACCCTGATCATACTACTGTATGTGCCGCTTGCCGTTCTTATTGATTTTGCTTTCTGGATCACCAGAAACCAAGGGAGTGATTTTTGTATTCTCAAATCATTACATAGTAAGAGCCTACAATACAAGCCTATAAAATTCGTCTGCAAATGAATACGATACGTGACAAGCTGTCCATCAACATGACAGTTACGATTATCCTTCACTAATGGTCGCTACAGTTGTCCTTCATTCCAACAATCGCTTTGGTTATTCTACTACTTTTGCAAATTGCAGAGGAGCAGACCGATGGCGCTAGAGTTACTATCATGATTGAGAAATGCTCAAGGTAATTGTGATACTGTGGTTTTCAACTGTAGCATCATAACCACGAAAGATAACATGCTCAAGACTCAACATAAAGAAGACATTGTGATTCTCAAATCGTAACTGCCAGTGCAATCTGGAAAAAGCTCGTTTACATAGGTAGCCACCCTTGTCTGGGACTATCCTTTACATATTGTGACTTCTTACAGGGAGTAGATTATAACATGAAAAGTACCAAAAACTCAATGAAGTTCCCTTTTGTCGTGTAGGCTGAACTTTTGACCTGGAAACAAATTCCGAAGGGTTTTTGGAGTCTATGTTGATAGATCGATTGTTTTCAACTTTAATTGAGGGAGAAGATGCATACTACACAAAATATGCAAATCTCGAGTTGAATAATGTTCGTTTAGAATCTAACGCTGATACGTAAGTTTGAATGCAGAGTCTGCATTCAGCTTAACCCCAACTATTTTTTGGGCGATGACTAAGTTTATAAAATCCTGCCGCTAAGCATCGCGACCAAACATGTAGACGTGAATTACCTCATCACTGCCGTCGCCGCAATCGTCGACACCGTCACAGAGCTTGTCATAATGATAACACTTAGTTTCCTCCAAGTAGGGACATCTGAGAGATACGATTGAATAGATTAGTTTTAAGCAAGAAGGCAACATACCTGAACTCCTGATCCGAGCAAGTTTTATCTCCGTGAATTTCCTCCCCACCATAGGAGAACTCAGCAAACTCGCCGGCGTTCTCTACAAGAAACACTTTCTCATTTCGTGCTCCTTTCCATTTTCGAGCTAGAAACGATCAATCGACGAAGAAATGCACAAAGCGATAATTTCAGTGGGCTAAGCGTGATTGAAGCGATAAGAGGTGCAACAGATACCGTGCTTAGTGCTAATTATTTCGTTTTCATCGATGTCGTCGATGTTATCGCCGTCTTCAGCGTATTCGTCTTCGTCCTCGTATTCGTACTGCTCTGGTTCAGAGTTTTGGTGCTGTTCTTCGTGTTGTCTTACGGCGGCAATGAAATATGCTAAAACAATGACAGAAGTGCCGTGAAGAACTGAAAAGTGCTTGAAAGCAAGTGCGCAGTGTCGGCTGTGCCGTAAAGTTTATACATGACACCGTTTTGTGTAAGTCATTCTCAGTGCATAAATGGACATGGTAATTCTTTGTTGTGAGTGATGTTATCCGTACATCTTCAACGATGAAGCAAAGTGGAGCATAATTTTCGAGGATAAATGAATAGAAAGTACATTTATCAGTTCACACTAAAGTCAGTAAAGAAAATCCATTTGATACGAGCGGATATTAGTGTTTAGAATGGAATCAAAAATCAGAACGCAGAGTCCTCAACTCGCTTTCTTTTCAACAGAATGAGCCTTCGGGAAACGCACATCCCCTAGTATTGGTAGCAGCATACCGATTGCGCGTCCCGACACGCTTTGTGGTTTTCCATCAAAACGAAGACGAGTTTGAGGGTTAGTATCCGAAGCGATCCCGTGCTCTCTTACTGTTAGGCCGTCACCACTAAAATCTATGCCCCCCCCCCCCCCCCCGAAGTCTGCTCGGACACTTCCTTGAAGTAACGCAACTTCCTACAACGCGTTGAATTTTTAAAACAGGGCAAACTTAGGCAGATGCATGAAACTGCTTGGAATAGTCAAAATTTGAGTCATCCTCTCCATAGGTCTCCCACTTTGTATAAGAAAATTTTTATTTGATTTGCGATTATCACCGAAGCGTAATTAAAAAGCTACACTGTAAACTGCTATGAAGGCGACCGTTCTTCATCTCCTAATTTTCTTTCCCTGTCTGGGAGCTAAATTTACATTAGATGAGTCCCATGTAACAATCATATTTTTGCTATGTCAAATTCCACTTCACTACTTGCTTTTAAATCATGGTTATTGGTCCTCCATCACGAAGTGATGCATACACATATGCAACAGCTGCACAGGTAGTGCCCATAACGCACATTAATCTCTATGGGACAGTTTATGATCCATGACAGCAATAATTTTTTTCTATTAATTGCGTACTTATTACACTATGTGATTTGTATGAAGCAAAGCAAATTAATATATGAGCTCGGCGGATGATCTTTTGGCAAGCGGTATTAATAAAAGAGGGAAATGAGTTAAGCAAAATGAATCAAGAAAAAGCAAGTTGTCAAAAATGAAACTGGTGAAAACTATAATAGAAACTATAATATGCTAGGCAAGGCTTAAGCTAAACTAAGAGCCCTTCATTTCACCCCTTTCTTCCCTTACAAAACTTACTTTCTTGAATAAAAGCAATAAGTTTTCCAAATATAAACCAAAAAAATCATGCGTATGCCCTCCTTAAAGGTTTAACAAAAATACTTCAAAAAATACTAAAAACAATATTGCTGCACAGCGTATTTCCAGGACTCGGCACGGGGTGTCTAGTTGAAAATGCAAGAAACGAAGTTCCCCTTGATTTTTGCGGATTTTTACGAAGTCTCCTTTGACCCCCCCCCCACCATAATCCCTAAAAACGAAAAGTCGATTAAAAAAACGTCGCAATTTTTGTCTTTTCTCTTCCAAAACCCCCTTTGCTTTTTGTCTCAAAAACAATATCCAGCTTGCTTACAAGCCACCTGCGCCGAGCCCTGGTTATTTCACACTCCCAAACACAATGTCTTCAAGCAAAAATTATATTGTCTGATTGAAGCGAACTACAGTTTAGTTGTTACAAACTCACCCAGTAATACAAGAAAGGCAACTTTTGGATGGAGCAAAAAGACTGGAACACTAAATTTCTGCTAATTCATATAAAAATTGCAAAATGTGGGTCCATGCACATAAGATGCTGGATAATATGTAGTACGTCAGGAAACTAAAGCTACAGCCGGATTATCTGTAAGTTAACATGTGTATTGCAGACCAGATGGGGCATGCAAACCTGTGTTTCTAAAAATTGTCTACTCCTAATTTTTACTCGTGTTTTTATGGTACAAGGCGCAACAGCAGTAACACATTCCATACTGTCACCCAATACAACGGTTTTGGTAGCTTTTTTTTCAGAGAGGTAGAGTTGAGGAGTGCCGTCGGGGTGTACAAAGTGACGCGATAAGTTCCGACTCGATTGTGCTTAGAACGGCAGATACTTCTCAAAGTTTTTTGACCACAAAAAGAGAGTAACGAATCGCTTCTATAAACAATGCTTTGATACGCTCAGAATTGATCATGAGATAAACAAATGTGGCTTTTTTGCTCAGGAGGTTAGTGAAATAAGCTTTGAATTTGTTTTAGTACACATGCATGTCTAAAACGAGCTTCTGCACAGGCTACATTTCACTTATACTTGAATCTAGTTCTAAATTAGCATAACAATCACAAAACTGCACTGACCGCATTTCGTCTCATCGGATCCGTCAGCGCAATCGTACTTTCTATCACAATGTTCGGACTAAACACACGTAAGCATTAAAGTGATAAATGTCCTTCGAAATTTTGCAAACCTTGGCGATGCACTCTCCACTGCTACACTTGAACTGGTTGTCGCTACAGTGAGAAATCGATCGCTTTCCAGTTTCTGAAATGGAAAATACTCGGTGGTAAGTGTGAAAGTCACATTTTATAGTTTTTGTGCCCTCTTTTGCACTTTTCGGGTCTACATCCTACTACGCAACGCTCAACGAAGAATTCGTCCGCGATGATCTACCAAAGGTCCCGCCCACTATGCGAATTCTCTTCCGATGAACGCTGGGTACCTGTAGTGTCGTTCGTTTCACTTTCGCCGCGAACGACGACCCAATTCTCCACTCGACGAGGACTTTCAAATCCTCGCCCGCGACGACGATGGGCATGTCTGCCAGGGCCCCTCGTGTCACCTTCCACTACCCGGCTTTACCGGAGATCAAGCTATGCTACGCTGTTACCTTCAGTGCCCTGGCATACGGTATTTTCTGCGTCTACCAAGCTAGCAAGAAGTTTGTCTGGAATGTAGGCGACTATGCTGTGCTCAGTAGTCTACCATTTATTGGACCAGTGATGAAAGTGAGTTGGTCAGTGGTTGTAGATCACTTTTTTACTCATCAACATTTCGATCTATAGTTCGAGTGATGGTTTTTCTCGCACATAAATACTTTTTCAAAAATTTACAGCAGTGAACTTCATACATTAAGTCAAAGCAAAAGTAAAACGTTTGGAATATTCTGGTACATCAAATTCTGGAGTTGCACTTTTTTTCCAGACCATCATCAAAATTGGCATAGCATATCTTACCAACAAATTAAATTTTATGACATTTATATTTTACATATCTTAGCAAGTAATGAATAAAATAAATAATTAAGTAAAGGAGTATCGACAAGATCTTTGGCATACAGCATTAATTTACAGGAAACTATATTTAATTTCGTGAGGATTTCCCATTTTGGTATTTTTCGATTTTGACTACTCATATAACTGTTTGTGTTGATATTACACTCGGACGTGATTAGTGATTAGGCTCTCGGTGGATGTTCCGATTTTCAATGTTATGGAGATTATCTGGTAAAAGCTTGATTTCCAGAATTAAGTATTAGAGAGGCTAAATTTGATGCAAAAAAAATTGAAAATTTGCATGAAAATTGCTTCTTTTCATTTGTTTCTGACATGAGTTGAAAAATGCTTTTGTCAAGTAGGATCTCTGTTTACTTCGGTCAATGCCTTAATCGAACATTGTTTACCCAAACCGTAACTCCACTTTATCCATGTTCATAGAGTGTCAATAACTATACCCTTTTCAGGACCAAACAAGCTGGGAATGGGTAAATTGGTCTCCGTTTGCGTGGCAATACTTGCCCGTATTACTAGGACATATTGTGATTTTCAATCTGGGATCAAAATTGCTACCCGAAACTCTATTCACTATATTCTACACCTTAAGCAGCATTGCTGCATGCGTGTACTACTTCACACCATTTCTGGTCATGGTTTCACTTGTTCAAGGAACTGTGATGTTTTTGGCCTGCCAATATTTTAGGTGAGTTTATGATTTCTTTTTTTCCAATTTTTTGTTGGTTTATAGAAAATAAGTCTACTGCGACAAGGGTTCGCTGAGCGGTAGTGGTTCATTGATTTCTTCGCAAATCAAACGAAAAATTTCTATTTACGATCTCTCAGTGTTCAAGTTCTTGATTAGATCATTTTTGAGAAAATCTGCAAAAACAGCTCTTCTAGTTCACAGCTTCGCGCAAAAACTGCGAGGAGTGAAATTTATAGACCATTGATGGAATCCGCTATAAAAACAGTTTTGTATTTATTCTGGAGCAAAGCTTAATATCTGCTAGTAGTACTTCCTTGTGCATAACATAGATTTTCAATAGTCATAGAGTTCAAAATTATGCATTTAACTCCAATGCCCTTTCCGCCAATTGCTTTGGTTAACTCGTTTTCTATTCTACCTGCAATTCACAGTGCACTACGACAATATAAAATAAGTTCGAAGTTTTTGCGGAAGTAGAGCACAGTTCCAATTCAAAATCGCAAAGCGAAAATACAATGAAGTTGATTGCTTTGTGCAACATCGCTCCCAGATTTTTAGTCCTGAATTTTTCCGTCTTCTATTCAAAGGTCAAAACATTGAATCAAACTTGGAGATCAGCTGTGATGCTGCAGATTTACCCTCAACTATTTCAAAACCTATCGTGACTGGATTTTTCACCATAAAAAGTAAAACATGAGGAAATCAACCGCATACATATAGTTCAGCAGTTCACCTATTCAACGCTTGTATTTCAAAGTTTTGCATTTTCTCAGAATTTGTAAGAAAGCAGTTTGAATTTGTCGAGTTTGTAGGCGCATAGCTCCTGAATATTTCGATTTATAGAAACTCTATATAACGCGTGTAAATTAAGCATACAAGGGACCAGGAAGTTGGGAAGAGGAGGAGGGAGGACAGATATTTTCTTAAAGGCGGCAAAAAATTGCGCTAGTGAATCTGCATTTATTGGAAATGATTATTAGGGCCAACTTAGCTAAAACGCAAAACACAAATGGCGAGATGAAATAGAAACTTGAAGAACAGAAGCTAGTTGCACATTTCGTAATGTTGAAGATTTTTCGAAGGTAGATGTCTTCTTTCGGAAATTTGAGTAAGAAAATATGATACTAAGAAATAGACTAACTTATTGTTAGAGGCTATAGAGAAAATGCGCACATGAGCTGCAGCATCTGCGAGTAGAAATTTCGAGTGAATTGCTGCGTAAAACATGTTCAAACATGTCCGTACGCGCATGGGGCACTTTAGCAAAAAGAAAACTCCAAATGCATCAAAACGCGTTAATGGATTCTCGTCCTTGGCGGCAACTATGAAAGAAAGATTTCCTGTAGTTTCTCAGGTCGAAAGCAACTCGCGTATTTCCAGACTACTATTTCCAAAAACGAGGACAGCTGTATTTTAACTATTTTCCGTAAGCTTTTTGCCGCGAAAGATACATCGCGACTAGCGAATCCTCAACGGTTGGGGTCCAAAACTTCAATTTTTTCGAAGTACATCCCCTGCTCTTGCGAATAACAGAATACGATGTCGTACATTTTGGCTTGAACCTGTAAAATCGGTCTTCCAGTATCCACTAGATCCAGAAAAATAAGGAGCGTACAAGTGTCATACAATTATGATTATATACCTACATTCTTTATACTTGAGTAGCTACAACGATTTCTTACTTTGTTTCCTTTATTCTTCCGCACATTTTCAAAAATCTGCAGTATCGCCACTATATATTCTTAAGAAACCTCTGCTAATGTCGCAGTTTATATACCGCTTGACTATGGAAATTCTTTTGCAGTTTTACCTGTCCTCATGGCATTTTTATTTCTCTGCTAGCCTTTGATTTGACTGGATGGGCGGCTAGAAGGCCTAATTAAGCCCGCTCGCGCCGCGACGCAATCTGCACCTATCTCGCGCTTGTGCTCTCTGATCATTCTTTAGTCGTAACTAGGTCACGAAGCCCCTCCTTGCAGCCGCCAATCCAGTTGAATCAAAGGGTAGTGAATTTGCAGGGCTGTGCTGCTTACTGTTACAAAAAATCACCGTATTTTATATTTTTTCAGAAGAAAAACCACCGTATGGATTTCATCACTGCCGCTTCTCTATTACATGATGCACCAAACAACGAAATTCTCAGCCAACCCCTTCTTCATCTACACCTTTGTCTCCTACAGTATGCTTAGCTACGTCTCCTACAATATCGACACGATCAATGGTGCTGGACGTAAGGAAGACGACACGATGCCAAAGCAGTATCTGCGCATGATGTTCTACACATTCTACCAGCCCTACCTCTTCTCTTTGATTGTGCTCTATGAAGATTTCGAAAGACAAATAGCAGCTAGGGAAGGAAAAGAGCGAGACTGGAGGAGTTGTATTTTATTCGCGGCCAGGATCGCCCTATGGTGGACAGTCATGGAGGTGTCACTGCATTTCTTCTATCATGAAGCTATAATGAGACACATCGAATACTCCAGCAATTTACCGAAGGATCAGCTGTTTTCACTAGCTTTGGCGATTGGTGGGTCTTTTTCGGTTTGATGAATAGCTTCTTGAAATGATAGTCTTCAAGCGCAAAATAAAGCTGCAATTTTGTGGGACCATTGGAGTATGTGGAGAGGGGGGGGGCGATATATCGCAGGGAAATCGGTCAAAATTTCTCATGATATATTGCAGAGAATTATTCATTGATGAACAGGATGATTTCATGAACAATTTCGAAATTAAACCTGGTAACTCTCTAGAAGACTCTAATACCAGGTCTTCACTCATCTATGACTTCCCAAACCCTCCCGCGAAAAATTTTCTGCAATAAAATTTTTACGCTGAAGGGGCGGTTCACTTATAACTAGAAAACTAAATAAATGAATGTGAATGCGATTTTCTAAGACGATGCCGCAGATGCCTTATCACTCTTTCGCTTCTTGCCTCCCCTCCTCCCCCCCCTCCCCCATTCTCCCCTACCTGCACCAATTTTCAGCCTGATCTATGAAATAATCATTCGTGACCTTGGATAAACTCTAAAAATCATTGAGAACTAGAAAAACTGATTAAAAACTGATTACTCAATCACTTTCTGCAGGACTTTAGACAAGCTCTGCAGAAAATCATTGAGTAATCAGTTTTTATCACTGAAGTAGGTAGAACGGAGTTTTTTCGTAGAGTTACTCTTAGAGCAGGATAAGAGTGAGACGATCTGAAGTGATGTAAGCACAAAAAATTGTGAGTGATACGCAAAGACGTCTGCCATACTGTAATCTTCATCGACGACTTTGAGATTATAGCAATTTAATAAAAAATTGCTAGAATTCCAGGTGTATTCTTCCATATGAAATACGTGGTGATCTTTGGCTTACCTACAATCTTTGCGAAAATCGACAAAATGGAACCACAGCCGCCACCGATCTGCATTTCTCGAGTCATGCTGTTTTCAAAAGTAAGCACTTGCATTCCATTTTCAAAACCGAGGCATGTGAGATATGTATGTATAATTGTGCCATACGACAGCAATATTTGAACAACTTATTGTTAGAGAAATTTCTCTACCGAAAAATAGTTAGAATAAGTTTTGTTATGGTTTTCTCTTTTCTTCAAAGAAAAATTTCATGTTTCTGCGAGACTCGTGCTATTTATGTGAGGTGTAAACGGGTAAACTTCACGGCTACCAATAAAGTATGTTATATCAACTCCATAAGAAATGAGAAATGAAAATATAGAGAAAATTCATTAAAGGATTAAGGGGGGGGGAGGAACGGCAAGCAGGGGCCCAAGGGCATGTTAAGCATCCCTATCATATTGCTCACGAAAGGACCAAACCAATACATGTTGATTTCAATAAGCAGTTTAGCCAACATCTTCTCCCTTTTCGTTTTTTTTCGTATTATTCGCCTTCCAATTTCCCTTGAAAAAAGTTGATATAGCTTTTTTGGCAGCAGCTCAGACATTTAGCTTTCTTAACATATGCAAATCAGGAATCTGAGCTCCGAATAGTAAAAACACTGTTTCAGCTTGAGTATATAGAAAAATTTGGAATTCTTCAGTTGTTATAACCGGATCGAACAATCCAGATTATTTGAAAGATGCGAAAATCCCAAGAGTATGAGAAACTGCGTTATAAGCTTTCCTTGCAGGTATGGAGAGAGTTCGATCGTGGCCTTTATCAATTCTTCAAAACCTACATATTCGTACCAATCTGTCAACCAACTTTTTCTTTGACAAGGAAAGTCATTGGAGTGCTAGTCTCATACTCATTCGTACTATTATGGCATGGATTCTACCATCACAACATCGTAAGTTGGAATCCTGTACTTAACCTCATTTTGATCGCACTTGACCTGGATTTCAACGCAGACATTGAGCACTGTTAGTGAAATTACTGCCCAGATCGTCTTACTCTTATAATTAGTTGTTATTTAGGTCTGGATCATTCTGAATATTTTCTCTTTGTTGTTGGAAATGAGTGCGAAATCGCTCTATGCGAACAAAACATTCCGTGAATGGCGTGAAAGGGTCGTGAGCGATGTGAATTTTCGCCGAATTCTTGCGCCACTTCACATTGTTCCATTCGCAGCTGGAATGTATTCAAACATATATTTCCTGGGAGGCTCACAAACAGGCTATTTGTTCGTGAAGAAAATCTTTGAAGAGGAAACAATTCCTGTTAGGTGAGTAAACGCATATTTTTCATTAATTATTATCAAAAAAGAAGTAAAATCAGTTGAATAATCAAAGGTCAAAAATATAGTTGGCCCTTGCTGAAGCATTCCTTAGATTTGATTCTTATTTGATGGTAAGTTATTGTTGAACTGATTGTTGCACAAAATTTCAGTGCGCTAATTGTTACTATTTAACTTTGATAATATCAATTTTCATGGTTTACCAGTTTTTTCGGGTTTTCCCAGTGTTACGGAGCTAGTTTGGATACTCGAAATGGAAAAGCTAAAAAGCAAAGAACAATATGTAGGAGTTACGAAACAGAATAAAATCACACTTTAAATATATTTCAAAAGTGGGAGATTCTGTGAACCCAGAATTATAGGGTTATAATGTATTTTTCGCTATTTGCATGTGAAAAAAAAGCTAGGGCAACATCAAGCAACCACAAACTCATCATTCTTGAATCTCTTCAGGTCAGTAGAAATTGTAGTAAATAATTTGAGTAATGGTCATGATGGTATCAATTGGGGATATGAATATATCAATAATGTATCATGTTCCGCTTTAACCCAAAATTCAGCAGCTAACCGATTTCGCTGTGCTAGATTTTCATTTCAAAAGTCTTGTGAGTTGTTATAACAGTAAATTCTCGTTGTACTCGTTTACTATCTTGATTTTCAGAGCTTCGATAACATCCTTTTTAAAGAATATGTAATCGAGTAAATGCCAATTCTAGAAATTTATCCGGATTTCGTTAGCTGTGGTATATCTAATTTTCCAAAAATCTGCTGGAATCCTTTACTTTTTTTCTGAAAGAAGCGGCAAAATGGCCAAAACCTTACTATTTCGCGCACAAGAATTGGCATGCAATCTTACATATCACTCATACTCGTATAATTCCCTACAATGGGTTTCCGACAGCAAAAGAAAGATTTTTTGATATCTCGACTAGGTTACAAAGTAGTTCTCGATCTCAGTCTTGCCCTTCCAACTCTCTCTGTCCTTTATCCACATCAACGCACTCAGACCCTTTCATCTAGCTTCTGCTAATAGTTTTTGGCTTGAATTAGTGCTCAATCAAATTCGTAAAGCCTTCTCAAGCAGCTGCTCCCGTTCTCAAGAATCGAGAGCTCAAAGCAGCTTGGGGAGCAAATAGTGACTCTGCACTTTATCTGCATATATCTGGATTTGTTTGAGAATTCTATGCTCTGTTCTCTACAATTTCTTGAACGCTTATGCGTTGTAGAGGAAAACAAATTGCGATACAAATTTCGAAATTTGCGAAAGAAATTGTAAGATATCCGAAATGTAAAACAATAGCAAACACTGATACAATACAAAATTTCTGCGAAATTGAGGCGAAATGGGTGACTAGATGGCTGTTATGTTGTCTGTCCCATCATTTCTCAAATATTTGATCCACGTAATCCAAATGCCTTTTCATTTTGATAATGTCTGGAACTATTCACTTGAAAAAGTATTTCGCTTCACTTTTCCACCATTTTTTCAAATGCACTACATCTCCTGCAGGCTGCTTGAGTTAAACAAAAAAGTGAAAAAAAACAAGAGTTGACGGATGCCAATCTCTTTTTGATTTCGATAAATCTAGTCAAATAAGTCGGGTAAACATCAGGATCTTGGAACTAAGTTTTTATGGCTGGTAAAAAACAAAAAACAAAAAAAAACGATTTGCATAATGTATGTATGTGTGAGCAATCCTTCAATTATGCCAAGTTTCTGTGACGCTTTTACACTCGAAAATTGTTACAATCAACATTTCGAAGCTGAATTTCAAAAAGGAGTTGCAAAACTTAAATAACCTCCTTTTCCCATAAGATAATCTAACCATAAGCAAAAATAAGGAGATTCATCCTCAATTTTGAATGAACTTTGATCGTAAGCAAGTTTCCTCAAAAAGTGGTCTCTGGTACCTGTTAGGTCGGACATTATTGATTATGATTGAAAAGTGAAGCGGCAACTTTTTTAGTTGAGATTTTTGTGAGTCAAATTTGGTTGAATTTTCAGGTGGCCGTTTATACTACTCATCACTATCGGCTACTTCTACTCTCATGTTTGCATGGAAGTCGATCGACTAAAGGATTCGCGGACGGTGAAGCAGACCGAAGAAGCTGCCAAGAAGAAGAAATAAGAATCTCATAATAATGCCGGTTATTTTGTAATTTGTTTTGTGATTTTCTCATAATTGAGGTGTTGGTCCCTAGTGGAACAAATAATAAGCATTCGCACTTTTTAACGACTCTGCTTTGTCTCTCTTCGAAGAGAAGAGAAGTGTGGTGGTGAGTAGTGGAGAGACCGTGGTAGTGGTGGTGGTGGTGGTGTTGGCGGTGAGCAGTAGACCAAACATTTTTTTCGCTTAGATTTTTTCACTCTTTGCCCAGAGTATGTGTCAACACTGCAGCGCACTCCCAAAGATTTTTGAACACACATAAAGAGGCGATAGCCGACTAACGCGCAGGAATAGCCGCTAATGTAAAGAAGATTCAACACAGACGCGGTTCGGGGGCGCGCAGAGAAGATTCACGGCTACTCCGTGGCTTTTTCAAACAATTCAGGTCAAATGAAGCCCCGATTCTTACTAAGTACATAATTTGTTTGCATAGCGCGCGGCGCGCGAGCCAAAAGTGCGCGATTCTGCCGCTCTTCCGAACTTATCAGAAGCACTTAAGAAATTGAGACAAAGAAAATGCTTGTGAAATAGCCAAAACCTAGTTTTCCATAGAAGAAAGGAGGTGATTAATTTCTTGATGCGAAAAAGGCATTTTCTAAAAGAAGGAAGACCGTACATAGCTCATTTTTAAATACTTCACAAACACTTCAAGCAGGATGTACACAAAACGTCATCTAACATCTTCTTTCCTGAAATTCAGATCCCACAGATCATAAAAATTTTTCTCTCACGAACAGTACTCATCAGCAACGAAGAATTTTTCGGCAGCAAATAATGGAGCAAAAACAAAGAATTTTTTTCTTGCTTTACACTGCAGATCTCAAGGATGTAGAATCTTGCAGAGTATCTAGAGGATCGCGTCTTGAGAATATCTGGGAGGATCAAGTACAAGGAAAGAGAAAAAATGGTGAAACCTCTGAATCAGCCTTGTCAGCTTTGCAAAGGAAAGGGCATTTTGTCACTGGAGGATTTCATGCCACATCGAGAACAAGATTAAGCCAAGAAAAGAGGAAATTTTAATAAGTTTAACAATGTTCTGTTACAATTCCAGCCACAGAAGACCCCATGCGCGCAAGAAAAGTAGATTTATTCAGCAACTATTATTTTCTTGGTATACCTAACCAACTCTGCTTAGAAACAATTCTCTGCCCTCTTTCTCTAAACCCCCAGAGTCAGAAGAATCTTTGACGGTTGCATTAGGCATTTCATAACGATGTCCAAATGAAATAGCTAGCAACAACCTCAGGATTTTCCCAAAAATTCTTCTAAATCTTCAAATCATTCCCTCTGTACAGAAGACTATTTGCGGAAAATTCCGCCTGTGATAATCGCAATTCTATTGTGACAAAAGTGCTATTACTCACTTCCGGCGCGACAGCATAATCCTTGTATGCAAGTCGTTGCAGTGGGACACACGGAATCGGACCAACAATACGTCGAACCGTGCCTGAAAAGCAAAGTCCATGATTGTTCCATGTTTCCCGAGTCTTCGCTGATTTCCCTCTGCCGAGAGAACGTTACAATAAGTCTCAAGCTGGCGACCGAGCGGGACAAACATTCGTGACCGCCGGCCATTGAAATGATCGTAGGGCAAACTATAAGCCGAGCGCATCGCTCGGATTTTCCTCAATTTGAGTGCTGGACACTGTTTAGTGTTTCCTTTGGTATTTTTCAGGGGAAAACATAATTCTTAGTGGCACAAAATCTCTTGTTAAAATTAGAATAATAATTTAGAAGCCTTAAAATAAAAAAAGTGGTTGAGAGAAGTATAACAGAACCTTTATGAAGTCAGCAAAAAAAGTTTTGAACTTTTTTCGTTAAAATTCGCATAAAGGAAGATGGCTGACCAAGTAGCTGACAACCTCCATTTCTCTATTTTGCACAAGTGGCTATGGGGCAAAAGGTATTTTGGATAGAAAATCATCAATACTTTAAAAAATTTGAAATTTTGTTTAAAGTAAAAAGAAAGCTGTTACAAAGTCGAATGCATCTAAATGTTAAATAAACAACCAACTAAAGAACAAAAACTATTTTATTAGAAGGTTAACAAATAATGGGAACGGTGCTTTTTTAATTTTTATTTTGGTAAAAAAGAAAAGGTCAAAAACTTATAAATTTTCATTTTGGATAGAAAAAAGCTATGAAGCTACTGCAGAAGCAGAGTCAGACTTTCTATTTCCATCTTTTCTATAAAAAAATTTTTGATCATAAAAACAGGCCTTTGTCGTTTTTATGACAATCGCAGGGCGGGCCTTATGCAACGATGAGACTTCTATTCACCTCCATTGCTTCATATTTCACATGAAAAAATATAATACTAGCCCTATCAAAATGATTTCAGAAAAGCCAGCTGCACTTCGACTTCTTATGTTTGCTCATTTTCCACTATGAAAAGGAAAAAAAATCGAAAATAAACATGAAAAAGCGAATTCATCGAAGATGTTGCATAAAAATGCTCACAGGCTGTACTCGGGTGATGTACCATCTTCGCATCTCACAGTAAGTCTAGAAAATTTGCGATGATGATGGATGTTATGGTGTTTACGATGAGGATGATTCCTTGTAGGACAGTTCTGGAACGATGCCAAAAATAGATTCTATTTATTCAGGTAGTGTTATGACAAATCTTACCAGCTCATCACTACCGTCAAGACAGTCCTTCCATCCATCACATCTGACCACGTCTGGCACACATGTTCTCGTAGATCTACATTGAAATTCCGATGAAGAGCAACTTTTTGCTGGAAATAAGAAAAGTAAAGAGCTAGAACATAACTTGCACAGAAAAGCGTAGAAAATCTCCTAAAATTGGCTACATTAGGAAAAGATCTCCCCGTAAATGTTATGGCCATTTTCTACACAGTAAAAGCTATTTTTCTCAAGCGAATCCAGTGACGAAAAAGCAACTCACCCGAGCAATCTAATTCGTCATCACCGTCAGGACACTGAACGATTCGATCACAAAACTGCGATACGGGCAAACAGTGACCAGATCGGCACATTCTTTCGTTTTTCGGACATCCTCTACTTGGTGGCTTCACCTTGTCGGATGTGACCCGTAACTGAAAGAAGAGCTCTTCAAGAGTAGCGAATTCACAGAATTTTTTGCATGGGTATTCGAAGAAATAGCCAAAAGACTGTTTTGCCCTACAGATGCGTTCGACCCTCAACCCGACCTACCAACCGGGTAAAAGATGAAATTAAGGCATTATTATTCTATTATAGATCCCAACCGCTTATCCCAAGATTCTGACCCATCAACTAAGTATCGCTATTAACAGACTCTAGTACCAGCCATTTCGTAACAAAAATGTTACAGAAAAATAGGATTTTATTATTACGGGACAAATGGAGCATTCGCCCACACCTACTCGAATTTTGAAGGATTTTATGAAATTTGTGAATCATATAACTTTTGGCAGTACCGGAAACTTACATAGAACACATCCACTAGAAGGACTTTCGACCTTCGCCGGAGCCAGTTATCCATTATTTTTATTTTATTTTATGTATACACTCATGGTGTATGTAAAGCATCGAAAGCAAGGCTCTGTTAACAGAGAACATAAGAACATTTCGGGCATTTAGTCACATTGGTTTCAATCTGATCTACCGTATTTAAGGCTGTTTCTTTTATGTTCTATTCGGAGCCTTGATTACCAGCAAAATTATATTAGATGTGCATTTGGAAAAAAGGTTTTTGTCGTCTTAAATAAGAAAGTACGATTGCGAACTGCATAGGTTACTGTATAGGGCTTCAAAGTGATGAAGGCCGCAACTACGGTCCTTGCCCATGCATGACGCCAACAAGTCTTTACGGGCAGCTTTTTTCTCTCAGAAAGCAGTCGCTTCGAAAACTTTTTGTTTCTAAGGGCCCTGCAGCTCTGTTTTTTCTATTTCCTTAGTGCAGCCGGATTTGAAACTTTGCAGAGTACGGCTAATCTCAAACATAAACAAACAGAATAAATATCAACCTAGTAATTGATTTTATGCACTGTTAAATTCACTCTCTGCAAGCTTGTCCCAGTGAAAGGACAAATAAAAAGGAAAGATTAAGACTTACGTCATAGGTGGCATCGACTCCCAATCCGCTAACAGTGATTTTGTACTCTCCAGCATCGTCAGCGGTTACATTCTCTATCCTCAAAAAGTACTCGGATGATGAGCGATAAATGTTGACTCGAGGGTCTCGAGAATTCGTCAGAGAGTCTTCGCCAATGATTCTTTCGTTTCGAGACCATAGTACCTTCAATATTTTTGGTTATCGGGGAGTCATTCATTCATAGGTCAAAGCGCTGCTTTCTAGAGGGTTAAAAATCGCTTGAAAGACTGGTAGATAAGAATCAAGAAAAGAATCAACAAAAATAGCGCCGAATGAAGCTTTGGATTTTCTTACAAAGAGACAGAAGCGGCACAGAACGACATCCAATTCTTTTCGGGGTTTTAAGCTTATTTTCGGTGAAGTCAACATTCTCACGTTTGGTTACATTGTGAAGTAAGAGCGCTAGAAATTCCTAAAATCAACACCGAACCTTATTTAAGCCATTTCTGTTTTTTTCTCACAGAAACCCCACTACAAATTCGTTTCCAAGCCCTCTTCGGTTCCTTTCCAAACTCTCGACTGCTGGAACTGGCTTGGGGCTTAGTGCTTGTCATGCACAAGAAGTCTTGTGTCTTGCTATCTTTCCAGAAAATGCAAAAAACTTTGCTCTCAAACAAATTTTTAGCAGAAGAGCACATGGCGTTCAGTAGCTTCTTCTCACTGACTTTTTTTCTGACTTTAAGCTGCTTAAATGGTTTTTTCTTGTGATTAGAAACAGTTGCAGAGACAGAGATAAGAATAAATGCTACAAAATTGATTTGCTCTCAGAAGTGTTAATGACTGCGAAACAATTGAAAAGCGAACGATTTTGCATATGAATGATTCACATTTTCTTACTTTTTATTTGGCGCAGGACGTACTAGCCAAGTACAAAACAAGAGAGAAATTTTGGTTGTTTACAAATGTTTCATCGCTTGTTCCGAAGCTGTGCGTCATGAATTTTCTATAGCTATAGTTTTCTCAGCATAATGTACTCTGAAAGTAGCGATAGCGTTTTTTATGAAATAAGGAATAAAATGACAAAAAAGAATAAAAGAAAGAGTTGAGATTGAGATGACTCAAAAAATTCATTTTATGAGATAGAAAATCCCATAAATCAATTTTCCAAACTCTCTCATGACTATGTGTGTGAACAATCTGCTCTGGAAAGGGCAAAACAGAAAAAAATAGAAAAAGAAAACATTTTTTCAAACTGATGCCAGAAAAAGCTATTTAATCACCACATAAAAATGAAATATGATCCTCACCTGATGACCCTTTGGGATTTCATCTATTACAGCCGATAAAAGTGCGGTACCACCGTAAGGAACATAAACAACCCGATTTGTTTGATATATTACAGGAATGGACGAATGGCAGAAAGCTGAAAATTTACAAAGTTTTAGAAGATAAGGAAAAAGTGAAAGGAAGAAAAAACTCCTACCAAATTTTGAAGATTCATCGGAACCATCATGGCAGTCCTTACGTCCATCACATCGAAGATTAGCATCAATACAGCCGCCATCCAAACATTGAAATTCTGTTGCCGAGCAGTTTGAGTTCGCGTCTAAAGAATAAAAAATTTGGCTAAAAATAAAAAATCTAACTAGGGAGGCCACATTTTTTGGGTAATCTCCAGTTCACCTCAAGTGCTTAGCACTCGATCATCGCCACTATTTTTGGCCTAGCGTTAAGGAATGCATGAAATTTCTTGCAAAAAGCACAAAAGTTCTCTTGTCCGTATCTAGTAGAAGGATCGATCTTGTACGAGTTTCCTCTTGGAAATCGTGGTAGTGCGTAACACCGAACAATTGGGCTATGAAGCACTCTATCTGATATAGTGCAGAAATGCTTTTTTCTTGTAAACAGATCGTATGCGCGTCTAAGGGTGAAAAAATATCAGTTGACGATAAAAAAGTAAACGCAGAATGGGCTGCTTTTCTGCTTAGCAGTGCAAAAAAATCTGAATGCAAATATATTAATTTCTAAAGTTATTTTCTAAAAAGGAAGTAGTAATTGAAAATTTATTAGAATTTCCAGAAGTAAGTTTGGTAGTCAAAAGTACGGATATCGATTAGCCAGAGTACAAAATAAATTTGAGAGGAAATTTAAGGCACAGATAGATGCATGCACACGACGGCAAAACTTCCAGGCACTCAAAAGGACCAACAAAGTTTCCTAATCCATCCCGTCCCCCTCCCCGTCTCTCCCTGTTCCTCGACACAGAGAAGGTTATGCCAACACCTCTGACGACGTGAAATTCGAATCCATCTGGGGTGACTCGTAGCCGGCCGATCATGCCATGCTTCAACGCCCATTGAATCCGTTGCTGAACACGGTTCGACTGCTCATCCGAGTGCACCTCTAAGTATGCAAGTGTGCCCAGGTCCTTGTGGTACCTGGAGATCATACAGTATACGCATCGTATACTAGATACTGTAGGCGTACTCTAAGTACCTGTACTGATAGACGCTAGTATTATGATGACCAGGCACATTAGCTAATAACCTATCAACCGAATTAGCAATATCACGTGATGCTTTTAAAAATTGTCTAGAGCCAACGTTTTGCAGTTCAGAATATGGTAAATCCGGAAAATTGATAGTAGTACGGTAGATGATGCTCAAGGAGAGTGCGGCGTACAGTGAGGGCAACATGCCGCGAACTGTCTCGGCCGCAGAGGCGGAGCCGCGGCTCGACGGTTCGGTCGGTGGTGCTGCTGCGACGGCGCTGCGGAGACTCTTCCCGCAAGCTCGGCATTCTATTTGAGCAAGCCTCCCCCTAACAACCGCATTGCGATGACCAACACCCAACGACGAATTTGAATTGAAACTCTCTCGCTCTGTCTTCGTCTCTTCACGTCGTCCGTCGTCGTCCGCGCCACGACGTCTCATCGTTCGTTGTCACTCTTGTCACAGTAGCACCCATTGTTATGACATGCGGAACGCGCAGCACTACGATGTGAGAAACTTCCAGCAAAAATGTACGAGGTAACGTTCAGCCAATCAAGATTGAAGAATTCTTTTAAAAGTTTGGATAGCCCCGCCTACTAAGAAAATCACGCCCACTCTGTTCACCTGCATGGTAACAATCGCCAGGCTACCTGATTATAGTAGCCAAATACAGTGAGTATACTTTCAAACTTGCTTTTGGTTTACAGCGGCAGCATAAAGGCAGTAATTCAGCTACCGTAATAGTATTCCTTAGAATGCTTGTAATAATTTCCTGTATTGAATATCCATGGTAGAGTGGATTGAAAATCCCAATGCTATAATAGTAACACCTTCTTCCATCTCCTCCCTCCCCCTTCCCCCACTACACCAATTGTCCGAGTGCGGACAATGAACCGTATGCGAGAAGATCGCTTCGTTTCAAAAGTTGCGAAAGATCCGCCCACTAGGCTGATCCCGCCTACTCGCGAGCAATAGCAAATTCTAGGTCAAGGACGCTACACAGATCTTCTCCTTAGAGTCGCATCCTGTATGGGTTCCTCCCGGCCCCTTATATGAAAACCTATTTTTTTGAGTTTTTAAGACAAAAAAAAGTTTGAAACGATACATTGTTTAGATCTTGGTTTCAACAAAGTTTTCTAATAGGGACTCAGTATGACCTCGCAATTCCTTTTTTTTGAGAGTTCAGACCAGAGATTGTCTCTCTATCACTTCGCCTTTGCACTTCTTCTGAACTGAAAGACACAGGCTTATAATCTTAGACCTTCATTTGCGATAACTCTGCCTTTGAAGTTATCTTCTCCAGGCAACTCTTTACATGCTAATTCTTCAAAAAACTCTTTTCGAAGGTATAAACGACTTGATGGCAACATGCAAGTGCTAGTGGCTGAGCTATCCGTTATGGAACCGCTCAAAAACGACAATCTTTGCTAGATCGTATCTTTGATGCTAGATAAAAAAAGTTACTTGAGTTAAATCTGAAACTTGCTGGAACTGCATGTTGCCATTTTTGTCAATACTCCAACACAAATGAGCACCTGGAATTTAGAAGGCTTATATGGACAATGATATTATATTCTTTTCGGACCCAGAAATCAAGTTACCACCCTCCGCAAACCCTAGAACTTCAAAGATATTCTAAAGGTAGATTTAAGCCTTCGAAAGAGACATATTATTGATTAAGTGTTTTCTTTTGGAGTGCCATTCTTCAATAATTAGTTTATACTTGTTTATCTCATAATGTTCCACATCTTAATGTTCCATATTTTCCAATGATTCATAATATTGAGTGCGAGTATGTTGATAATTTGCTTGTGGTACGAATTGGAGAGAACTCATAAAAGATTGAAGGTAGCGTGGGAGCCCATTCCAATTCCTCTTTCGACCAACTCTCGATTCATTACCCCTCCCCCCCTCCTCCCCTCCTCCCCCCCCCCCTCTCCTCCTCCCCTCCTCCCCCCCCCCCCCTCCCCACCACCACCTTCTCCATTTTGTAGAACTCTGCTCATAACGTCACACGATGCACTTTGCTCTCAGAACACAGCTGTGTTATCGAGTAACCAAAAACTTGAGTGTTTTGCATTCCGATAATCTTCTAATTCTCTAATCTCCAAGAATTTTGACAACACCATTCTTATCAGTAAATTTCTTTTTTCTAAATGCTTAAAAAAGATGAAGCGCACAGCTGTTTCAACAGCTGCAAATTTGGAGACATTGTAAGGAATCTGAAAAAGGTATGGGGATAGTTCGCTTGACGAAATTCGCTCTGAGGAAGGTGTGACCTCGGGACCCGCAGTAACATCGCAATAATTCGGGATAGGATCCTATTTTTTTCATAGGACTACGGGGGCGGCATTGTAGCAGAAAAAATTGAGGAATTTTGTCACACCTGCGCTGATGCTCGCGCGATGAGCTCAGCTCACTGAAAGTGCAATTCTGTTACCAATGCAAGACACTATGGCACGCAGCGACAAACGGAAGCAAATATCGTTCAAGTGGTGGTGCTGGTGGTGCTGATGATGCTCTGTGTGGCTCACGGTTTCTCACGCTTCGAAGCTTGTGCTAGCTGGCTAAATTTTTCGTAAACATAAAATTTTCTTGTGTTACCAAAAATCAGCTTCTGGAATGAGAATAGCCCGCAAAGCAGCTCTGCATGAAGTCCTTTAGATCTCGACGGTAAATATGTGTAATTGCACAGCAAGTCACTATTGCGCGGAAGATCCAGGAATTAGTAGCCATCACTTGTGATTCGACCCCAACCCTAACATCCCGGAATGTAATGGTTTTCCACATTTTTTCAGAATCCTTAAGATACGAAGTGTTTGCAGAGAGCAACAAGCACTTATCCGGGGAATTCCCTCGTGAACAGCGAATTTCTTAGATATTCCGAGCAAATGTGTGTTTCTGTGAGAATGCACAGGTCACCTCAAAATCAAGTGCTCTAGTACAGCTTGTTTGGTGTGCATCCATCGCTAAAAAGTACTAAACGGCTGGTTTATTTACATAGCTTTCTAGAAGAGCAAAAACTCAATTTTTTTTCCAAATTTTTAAGCCTCTCAGAAGGAAACTCCTCCCAGCACCAACCAAAATTTACCGTTGTTGAATTTCCAAGCAAAAACATTGTGTTCGTTCAAATTATGGGCATGTTGTACTTCGCGAGACGAGAAGTAAGATTGATATTTCAATTTTTTTATGCTTGATGTGACGGTGGTCATCGTTTCCCTTTTCTATGTCTTTTGAGAAAAAAAGAGCCATAGTAGCGAGAGCATATAGGTTACTTTTTTTGATATTCTGAACTGTTTAACGAAGCATTAGCTCAAGTTCTACCAACTGGAACTGATTCTCTTGATAGATCAGAATATTTTTAAGAAGATGTCGCCTTGGATGGAAAAAGGTAACGGTTGAACCACGACCACATACATGAGACTAAACACCAAATTCTACAGCCTGTAGAGAATGATTCTCATACGCTTAGAAATTCCACTAGCTACGGAGGTATTTAAGTTCTGCAGATTCAAGCTATGACGTCATGAAGCTTTGAAAATCTCAATGACGCAGGACTTGCTTTCAGCCAACAAAAGCAAGTTTCTTAACTACGCACCTACTCGAAGTATTTCCTATGGCAAAAACGAAGTGGGTCACTTCAACATACCGGACTGCTCCTCTCCGGAAGAGCTTACGAGCTCGCCAATAGTGTTGTAATCGTCTGTGATGGGGAACCATCCGGAGCCATCGTCCTCAACCGGATGACTGCTAGAGGGTGTAGAGAATACAGCTATTAGAATGAATATTATGTAGTATGGTAAGGACGAGGTTGTCATGACCCCATACAGAATGGGAGATGTCCAATTGGCAACGCGCAGCGCAGCACAGCACACACCTGTCCGAGGCGAAAACAAAATGGCCCGAGTGAGGGATGGCGAAAAATGGGATGATAGGGTCGTCGTTCGGAGACAGATAGCAGATAAACGACGATACACTTCCGATATTATGATCGGGGACACTAAAAATACTCACTTTCAGCAATGTCGACTCATCATCTCACTTGTGGCGAATTTTCGTAATTTTTCGCATTGAAAAATCAACTTGTTAGACTTCTAAAAATAGGAGCTCCACAACAGTTTTTTTTGTCCTGGAATCAGCAATCAAATTCTGGCATTTTATTGCATCTACTCATTTACATTTATTACCAAATAACTGTCAACAAAGTAATAAAATGTAATTCTTATCGGACCTCCTGGAATTAGAACAATTACCGCACCTTGATCATTTAGCATTCCACCCATAGTTTCCTAATTATGATTTGTGTTCACTTCCATACCGAAGAGATAGTTATACAGAATATATCTTTTGAAAAACTTGAGTAAGGAGCTGATTGCTCTCCATAATGTTCTTTTCATCCACTGCACCAATTTTCTTGATAGCTTTCATATAGTCGTTTAACATTATTGATACTTTTCATTTTTTTCAGTCATGATGTCAGGTGCATATTTTATACGGAGAGCCATTGATCCTGCAGATGTGAATTTCTCACTGGGGGAATTTCCGACGGATATCTCAACAAAGCTAGATTCTTCTACTTTGATACGAATAACAATGTTGCAAGCTGCGCGAATTTGATGTCATTGTTATATGAACATAAAGTATAGATTTTAATTGTTAGTAGTTATTATTCCAAACATATTAGAATAGACTAGAATATTTTTTTCAGTTCATTTATTACTAGACTAATATATTGGGAGTCCAACTATTTTTGCTTGCTATTTTCTCTTACAAACCATGTTTAAAGCACTTAAATTTGAATGCGATTCCTCATAAATTTTATTAAATTATCTGTGTCGAAAGAGGTTAGATATGTAGTAAAAGGTAACTCTTTCATTAAAAAGATAACGCTGCCACGACTTCAAAAACAAATGTAATATTTTAAGAAAATCTTCTGCGGTCCTTTTGTACTAAAGGTAATCACTACTTTGTCTGATCCAATTACATTCTCTCAATCGGCCGCGATAACACGAGCGATGACCGCAACTGAGCAAATCTTCGCGTGGAATGTTGCATTACGAAGAAACTTGTAAACAACCCTCTTCATCTATATTTCCTGCAAAAAAAGTTGACTGCTACTGCAGGAGAATTTTATCGTCGTATCCTTTTTCCTTGTTCAATTTTAAGGTAGCAACCTTCACTTTCAAAATTAAGAGTTTTCAGAC